GAATTAAAGAGAACTGAATCTACTTCTTGAATTGTAATATAGCCATCTCCATCTGCATCGCAATGGGAAAAGGCTAGCTCGCATGTTTGCTTAAAAAGCGGCTGTGTCAATACATGGCCCGATGCAAACAAGAACTGCAGACCAATCAGCAGCAGAAGAAGTAAGATTTTCTGCAAAGATTTATTATTTCTTCGCAAAGATATTGTTTCATATAAAAATCCTCAACTTACCTGTTTGAAAGTGATTGATCCAACTTTCTCCACATCGATGAACTCAAATATCTACAGCAGTATGCTTGTATAAGTAACTTTCTCAATCATAAACAATGATAACGGATGATAATAACCATACTGACATACAAAAAGGACAATTTTATTCATCTCTTAACTAACCCTTTTAGAAAGAGGGCAAGGTTTCAGTTTAAGACCCCGAAGAAAGTCATGTAGCCTAACACGTCCACTGCAAAATGGATAAAATTCTTGAGGTTGTAGGGAACTGATATTTCAAGCACTGGAACGCTGACAGAGATAGTAATATCACTTTTGTGGTTACTTAGAGGAGAAAATACATTACCTCGAGTCGGGAATCATGGAAACAAATATATCCAAAAATCGCGTTGCCTCTAAGCTGCTTACATGGAATAGCTGGAAGGAACAAAGACAGCGCAACATAATCACTAGGGAGACAAAAATAGGGGCATTGAATGAACATATATAGAGGACACCATCAAAATAGTAAGGTTAGACATATTTATCTAAAGTTTCACAAAAACCATAATGAGTGATATTCCTCTATGTTAACGAGAAGCAACAAACTTATGGTGTTAGATGATAAACTTACTGACTCAACTCTTGCCATTTCAACCATGTAATTTGAGGGGTTCTCCTGCAACAGAACAATTAAGATGAAATAAATGATCAGCCAGAGAACTGTTTCCTGACAGGGGAAGTTATTTTCAAGCTTCCATGGACAAGAATTTATGACTTGTGGCTCAGAGTACTTCTGAACAAACTATGAGACATAGATAAGAGACAACGTAGAAAACTATTTAAGAGCGCAAAACCATTCATGAGCTGCACATACCAGCTTTAACTCAGTTGCTCTGTTGAGTAGCATCAAGTCCGCATAAGAATGGGATGTTTGGACGACATTCAAAGACGTTGCAATTGCATGACTGGTCTGAATTCATAAGTACACCATAAGGACTATTTTTCACCATAAAAGATGCAATTAATGTAGAAAAGTAATCTCCATATATAGTTATCTCCACCAACACACACCTTCTGTGAGAGACGCACAGCATTCTGTTTTTGCTTTTCACTGGGGTATATTACTGGAAGGTATTCAACCTGTTTGATTTCGAAAAAAGTTTTATCCGAATAAGTGAAAGTCTACAACAAGACAATCAATCAGCTAAGCAAGCTTACGCGATATGCACATTGCCTACCTCCATGAAATTGTGAAACTGGGTGAACATTCTAAACATGAGCATCAACAGAGAGATGTTTCCCCTGAAAGTGTCATCAAAATCAGTAAGGAGGCAGTCTAATTTACAGAGAAGTGTAAAGTGCGAAAAACACAAACGAGTCTCACCAGGATTGATCAAAATGTACATGGGGATACCGGACCACTACAGGTTGAATAGGGTAACCAGGGATGAAAGCACCGAGTTGGAAGGAAATAAGAACTTTCCCATTAGTCGTGGTTCCTTCGGGGAACAACAGCAGACGAGGAAATCTATCGCAGGAAGCTTTTCTCTGTATTTACATCCTTGAAAGCACATTCCGTATCAAATACAAAAAACCATTTGAATCCTTTTCAACCACAAATAGTTCAGAATTCATGAAAATGGTGTATACACAAATCTCTTATTTGATAGAGTTACTCAGTTTTTAAAAATACAACAGACATCAAAAAAAAAATGTCACAGAAACTCTATACCTTTATTTCATGCACAGCGTTCTTCCTTGATGTCTGTGAGAATCTATTCACATATATCACCTACAAAGTTCAAAAACAAAACTTGAAAAAAACTGAAACTATAAACTACACAAAAACCAATATGTGCTAGCTGACCTGCATTGCCCTGATAATAGTTCCAACAAATGGAAGTGAATCATGTGACTCAGATGCAACAATGGTCGGTGATAATTCATAGAAGTAGAAGATTGGTTCAATATAAGAAACATGGTTGGATACAACGATGGGAGCAATCTCTCTGCGAGCAGGTTTCCCTTTCCGTCTTATCCACTGATAACTGCATAACCAATAAAGATATATGAACATTGGAGAATGTAGCCATGGTAAGCAAACATAATGAAACAAACAATCTAAAGACCTTCGAAACTAAATTGACCATTCCTCAATTCTATCTCTCTATAAAAAAGATCTTTTGAATAATCAGCAAAACAGTAACTTTAAAATCTAAGACTAAAAAAAAAACACAAACATTGTATGCAATCACTAAGTAATCGACAAGATAACTGACCCAAAAGAGAAGAGGATAAATCTGGTACAGATCCGAGTAATCCACATGATTCTACATCTCCAAAGAGGCATAGGGTTCTCTTTATCTTTCCAGCCAGCAAGTGCCAATTTTGTAGCCAAGTAACCAACAGCTAAGCTAGCACCAAACAGAACAAGTCTAATCAGAGCAATCGGAAGACAAATCACGATCTTAATCGCCTCGTACAATCCGCAAACTCCAGGTGTATTGTTCCGGAATGGATCCACCGTCGTCGGACCGAGAACCGGAGGCTCGGACTCGCTGAGAAACCTATAAGGATTACGATGGTCAAACTCAAAACCACGAGCGGGAAGATTGAGTCCTGACTCGTCGTCGTCGATGGAGATAACAACTTCAGGTTGATCGGAGGATTGATGGTGGATCAACGGACACGACAAATCAGGATCCGCCATTCTCTCGGTGTCTGTAAGAAGAACACAGAGAGATGGAGGAAAGAGAGAGACAGAGCGGGAGAGATTGGTACACGCTTGTGGTGGAATGTTATTTGTTTCTTTCTAATCTCCTTTTTTTTCTTTTCTTTCTGTTCAACAAATTTAAAAGAATTAAATTAGTATTTATTTCTTCAACATGTTTGAGTCTTGTATATTCTGTTAGAATCTGAAACATTTAGAGTTAATTAACTTATCGAGAACAACTGTTTATATTGCAGCTGTGGTTTAGCAAATACTCCCTCCGTTTCACAAAAAGTGTCGTTTTAAGGTTTTATTTTTGTTTCACAAGGAGTGTCGTTTTAGGTTTTCAATGCAAAATTTAATGATTTTTTATGTTTTATGACTATTAGTATTCTGCAGATTGTTTTACTATTGGGCAGATTTTGTTTAAGTATATAGGTAATGATGTTTTTGTTTAGAAAAAACAAAAAATTTAATGTTTTCTTAATCTGTGTGCAAAACTCTAAAACGACACTCTTTGTGAAACAGAGGGAGTAGGTTATACAAATTACAAGAGGGCACGATAAAGTTTTTCGTCAACGCGGACAGGTAATTTATACAAGGATTATTATTGATTGCACATGGATTCGGCATGGCCTTGTCATAATAACAAATGGAAAATATATTAGCATTATCTAAAAAAAACAACTATGTAAAGTTATTAATTCCGTTTTTAGTTCAGGACATGGATGTTGTTATTGTGGAGATATCCAGATTTTCTACAATAGAGATAGCATCCAGAGTTTCTTAGATAGTTGTTAATAATCCAGATATTTTAAATCAGAAAATCGTTGTCCACCCCTTAATTGACATCTTGGTCGACATACCAATATAATAAAGCAAATGTCGAAATCATTGACTTGAAACGTGTGTCAAAATTAAAAAAAAAAAAAAAAAAAAAAACGTGTGTCAAAATATAATTTGCTAAGTCTTTTGCGTCATACAATTATCGGCAAGTAAAAAGAGAAGAATTATCTCTCCTTTACCACTCGACCAAAGGCGACTTGGTTTATACAAGGTATCTGAAAAGGTCAAAAGATGGCTTATATGCAAATTCATAACCTAGGGTTTGAACTTTCCGTTTTACCAGAACCTTTGTCCCCTTGAGTTAAGACTTCTTCGTGTCGAGAGCTGACGAGTTTGGAGCAACCGTTGAGTTGAGACGTCGCTGGGAGGAAGAAGAGTTTTAGTCTTATGGGCCTTGAATATTTTGGATCCACAAAATAATGGGCCTTGGATATTTTGGACCTAATGTTATGGGCTTAATTCTTTGATGGCACACAAGCAAGAAACTAAAAAAGCATAGGTTGGTTTTCCTGTTGTTGGATTTAAAACCTTTTTTTTGTTAGAAAAATAAAGGAACATTTTATAAATTTATAAGCTAAAGATAAATAAAAATGAATGAGGTCCACTGAAATAAAAGAAGAGAACGACAAGTCATTTGTTCAAGTCCACGTGGACTCCTATAGCCAGCACTTCTGGACCTTTTTCCCCCATCCACCACCAAGTTGGGTTTAGGCCTCCAATAATTCATTTACCTTGTGTTTAACCTTTTAAAGTTTTACTTTCATACATATCTTAAAAAGTAGTATATATCAACGGTGTGAAACGGAGAACCATGGTTTAACTTAATTAATAAATCAAACATAAACAAAGTTATCTTATAGTAAATCCTGTCTGGCGTTGAGACCGTGACAAGAAGAAAATATCTACTACTACTACTACTAATTAAACAACGAACGAACTAGAATCAACGGTTAGGACAAGACGATGGAATTGAACGGTACAGATCAGATAGACACAAGTATGACCCACGCCAGCCTGTTCCTTTACTTCCTTAGCGTTAAACTGGTGGTGCTGACCCTACTAGGCGTCCCTTGAGTGGGAAGCTTTCAGGCCCCACGAAACAATGCCGTATTAGTGGTACAATCAAGCTTACTTGGCCCCGCCAATAGCACGGACGAGACTTTTATGTAAAAAGCTTTTTAAACACTTCTAAGAAAATGGAATCATCTACAAAGTAATGCTACAACAATTTTAGGAAAACAACATTAGAATTTTCATTTAGATAAGAAAGATATATTTATTTTGTTACAGATTTAAATAAAATCAAAACATCAATATCACAATTGTTGTTGAGTGGACCATGACTTAGAGAGGGCTTCAATAAATATATTTTGTTAATTACAAAGACCAAAAAAGTCAAGACAAAGTGGTGAGCCCCCACCCAAAAAAATGAAACGATTCGGAATTATGCTTAAGCTGGTCCTACTCATACGGACCACGTAGCTCTAACCATTTGGGGACCACACCCAACCTGGCTGCCTCGGAAGCTATGCGTAAGGTGGGAGCCGAGTGGCCCCTTCCCTTCCTCCTCCCACTCTCTCTCTCTCTCTGCTTTTTGGTGCGTGTTGACCCACTTCTGCCTAAAATCTAGGCCCACTTCTTAACACGTGCACTTCTTCACGTGCCCACGTGCCTTTTCCGATCACTCATACGCCGTCGTTTTTCTTTATTTTCTTCAGTGGTTCGATGACCGTGTTGTTGTGGTGCTCATGAACTGGTGAAGCTCTTGTTTCTCGTATATCTCTAGCGAGAAGTCTCTGAGTGTGTGTGTCGTTGTTGTTGCAGTAGACGATGAACCACCGGTTGTTATGCCGGAGCTTGAGCTTGGAGCCATAACCGACGTCGTTCTTGATAAATTCGAACCGCTAACGTCTGAAACGGATACAAAGCCGCTGCTTGGAAAAACTTGAAGAGGAAGTGGTCTAGCCATCGAGGAAGCCTGCTGAACAGCGGCGACGTAAGACGACGGGGCCGCGGCGACGTAAGACGACGGGGCCGCGGCGGGAAAAGCTAATAACTGAGGCTGATTCGACGGACCAGCGATTTGTGGAACCAAGAAGAAAGCTCCGACCGTCGGAATCACTGCGTTTGATGGAATAGCCCACATCGGATACATTCCTTGCGGCAGAAGTTGCTGAGCCACGGTGGATGATGCCAGCGCTGGCGGAGGTTGGATCGTTGTCGTCGTGGAAATGGGAGCTAAACCGGAGGAAGCTGAAACGGCGTCGCTTATGTCTATATACTCACTGTTAGAAGGTCGTTTACGTTTCTTCTTCATCGGATTTTCACCCAAATCAGAATCAGCGTTCGTTGTTGTCGGGATTTTTAGGGTTCCGTTAACCGACATAGCGATGGCGGGAACCGTTCCCGATCCCGTGGCGGCGATAATCGCCGGCTCAGCGTTCTCCAACAACCACCGAATCGTTTCGCCGTCGGATTTGTGACCTAACTCTCGAGTTAATTGAAAAATTCTAGCCGCACACGTGGCAGGCATCCGTATCCTTCTCCCTCTTCCTTCAACCTTCGTGTGACGGTCTTTAGTCGAAGCTCTCTTCAATGGTGGTCCCGTTGAAGACGGTGGAGCTAAAGACATTGAAATCGACGGAGCCTGCATCTGCATCACCGGCTCCGCCTTAGGCTCGAGACTCACCGTGGAATTTACTTGGAAAGGTCTTGAAGTTTCGACGTTTCTGACGCCGTGGACGATGGTTAGATCAACGGCTCGTAGGCTTTGGTCCTTGCCTCCAACTTCTTCTTGCTTCTGAATCGTCGCCATTAAAATATAGCTGAGCGAAAACGGACGGTGGAGATGACGACGAGAGTTGTTAAAAGCGGATACAATGGGAAAGAATAGTTTTAACGGCGTTTCACGTCGAAAGAGATTACTACATGTGACTCGTCTCTCTATATATATAGGAGCAAGAAGACAAGTGTTGATTATTGAACGCTTTTCGATGCGGGAAAAATCGACGGTGTTGATGTGCTTGATGAGCTTTAAAGAACCATTCGGATTGTACCACGTGGACAAATCCCCTTCCATTGCTCTATCTTCTAATTCTATCAGTATTATTATGGGACCATCTCCACAATGGGGTCCAGTAAACTTTATTTCTCTTTGAGTTTTTTTTTTAACTGTTTAGTAATATACACAAAGTCACAAGTTGGTTTTTTTATGTTTTAACCTAATAAGAGAAGCTTCGAAATCTAAAATTTGAAACTCTTTCTGGTTACTAGTAATGAATTACCTAGCTTGGTACACCATCGCCAATAATAGGTTTTAACTTTTAAGCCGTCAAATTTAACTTTTCTAATAGTTGAAAAGATTTAAATAATAGATTTACTTTTTTTTTTCTCAAGGAAAAAGCTGTAAGCCCATACTTGGGGCTGGACCCCATTAATGGAGGTCACAAGGCTGCGCCACCAAAAAGCTAATTAGTGTCTATGGAATAATCCTTTACAGGATTCCAAAATCCTCCTATCGTCCTTTAACTAAACCGGTCACAAACATAACGCATACTTTACCTACTTGTGTACTTGGACAAATATTCAATCCGGATATCAAACATACAAACCGAACTAGAAATCAGATAAAAGTAATCGGTTTAATTCTTAGTTCGACAGTAACTAGATGTAACCGATTCAAACTAATTTTCATTCAGTAGGTAAACCCGAAACGGGTTTGAACCACTAGCTATACTACGTCTACTTGTACAAATATATGACCGACCAGAAAGAGGGACCGTATGCACCAGAAAAGAAAGGCTACAAAACGAAAACGAGTGAAAGTGGGCCTGAGCTGGACCCTACTCTCTCCAGTGCCGGTCTCACACCATACATTGTTGAGGCCTTGAGGGCTAGACCCAACTATTTGACCCCACCATTCCCTGCCCACTCAAAAATCAAATATTGGTGACTTGGCCTAGAGATTACCAAACGAACAAATCGGATCCGAGATTAGAATTAACACATATTTAAAACCGGTTTAACCGGTAGTAACCTTTTAGGCTTAAACCAAGTGGGTTCCACGTTTTGCGATAACAGATTCGGGTCCAGCACCGAGGGATAATGTTGTAATTTTAGCAAGCCACCAACTTTTTCCCTACCATCGACAGGATATCACTCGTTACGTCAGCATTAATAATTTTGGATTTAGATGTTTTTAGTTTTACATAAGTAACTGTTGTAGTATTTCTGACAAACCATTTAATCATCCTGCATTAATGATGCTTGTTTTGTTCGTATTGGTCGTTTCTTTAGACACAGAGAAGCTTATCTCATCAGATGCATCTGTCCATTGTTATGTTCTCTAACTGCAATAAACACAATTTCTTACAAAAGCCTGAAACATTCCCTATGAATCTGCAAGGAGCCTTCAAAGATCTAGAAAAGCATTCCAACAATGGCGATATTCTTCAGTTGCGTAAAAACCATAGGTGAACGCTTAGCCTCACGATCCCGATATGTAAGTGTACCGTGACTGAGCTCCCTCCAAAAGCTCCACAATCTTCTCTGTCATTCCCACGCGATAACCAAAATAATGTCAGTTGATGGCAAGTAAACAAACAATCAATGATCTAGTGAATGAAACGAAAGCTTAAAAAGTAAACCTGTGAGGAATCCGATCAATGGAATTGGTTCCAGCTTCTTTTGAGAGCTTTCCAGCTTCTGCCTGCAATTGCAAGACAAGCATGTATTTGGTTTATTAGTAACCGAGATAGCTTAAGCTATAAGCCTAAACCCAGGGATCCCCAATCTGATATTAACTGAAGCTAAGCGTACAAACATAAGAGCCAAGAGGGAATGAACCAATTCGGTTTCAATTATTCCCATTCCAGAACAAGCAATAATTGAAAACAAAGCATATATATATATATAGTTACTTCCCTTAGGTTTCTAAACTTCATAAGCCTAAAACCCAAACCAAAAAAACGGCTTAGGGACCCATAGCTTAAGAAATGCAGCTCATAACACTCACCTTGTGTACTTGGTGAAGAATGGATCTCTCATGAGGTACAATGCCCATAGCAGCTTTCGTCTCCTCAGCTGAAGCAGTAACAAGAAATATCAGTTAAATCGGTTCAACGTTACTGTATTGAGGACTGAGAGATTTCTAACCTCATCCTTTTCAAGTCCTGAGAAATGGACTTGCTTGCTCTTCTCTCCCCACCATTTCGAATTTGCAAGAATACCCATTCCCAGTGTGTCCACAGAAAGCGATATAGCCCAAGGAATCCAAGATCGGACTCCATATTTTCTGATGAAAAGAACGTAAATGAGCGGTCTCATTATGTAAAGAACCTCACCCATTGCAAACAACGCTCCATTAACACCCTTTTCAGATAGTAGCTCGGAGAGCGTTCTTCGCCTCTCCTTGATCATTGGAGGCTCAATAACTGCTTGCTGATGTTGAATTCTTCGAGACCAACCGGAGGTAGAAGATGTTGTTGTTGTTCTTGCATTCTGACCAAATGAACTTAAAGCTGACATCGCCCGACCTTCCAAGTTCCATGGATTATGACGATTTTGGTTTCCAAGACTATGAGGCCCGAGATTTCTACCTAAATTACCAGCTCTAATTTGCGACTCGGATTGGTCAGAATCTTTCTCCTCGTTAGATGTTTCCCCTCCTTGAAGAAGCATCTTATACCCACTATTCCGGAACAAGGCTAACCTAATGACAGCCCTGAAAATACACAGTTTTCCAGATATCAAAATGCCAGCTAAGTAGGTTGTGTAGATCCAAGTGATCAGAAGAAAGCAAGCTTACTTCATAGCTTCAGTGAGAAAAATGTAGTTCCATTTTTTGTCTCCATAGAAGTGTTCAGCTGCCACTTCCACAACAGTTTCCAAATCCTTTAGGATGGCGATGAGTAGCGGATAAGAAAGGGATGGATCACTCCCGGAAGATTCAACAAGGCCACGAGGTGTTGGAGCATTTTCAATGATGTGTTCATTTATCGTTGTGAATATGCCCAAAAAAGCCGTTACTACAAAGAAGATCACCAAAACTTTCATCACACATCAAAAGTACAAGAGAGATACACAAAAGAGAGAAAGGAACATTCTTTTGAAGTTGAAGATTCTAATGAATTTACTAAAGACTTAGGAGACTAAACATGTGAGGAGTTACAAGTGACGTGTGTGATTTGAGAAGAACCGATAAAACTAAGTATAGGACAGTTTTCCATTTTTCAAACAAGAGACTTTAAGAGCTAACACGGATAAAGGAAACAGCTGTTCTAAGATTGAAAGCAGTAAAATGTTACCAAAGTATCACAAAACCTGCTTCTGGTCCAATCTCTGAAGCAGAAAACTTTTCAGGAAGCAGCCATGTCAATCCCTGCAACAAAACAAACATAATTGACGAATTATCAGCTGATGAATTCCACAACTAGGAATTAAAAGAAGGAACTGGTTCAAGTCTTAAACTTTTGCAAAGGGTTTCAATCTTAAACCTAATAGACAAAAGCTTCGATCTCAAATTTCGGTGTATATAATAAACACAACTCTTCAAGCAAAAATTCAAACAACCAGACGATGAAAACTTGGAATTGACACTTACGATGAAACAAAAACGACAGAGAATCAGAACATAATCAAAAATGGGAAAAGAAATTAAGGAGAAGAGTAATAATGAATCTTACGTTGGCAAAGGATCCTAAGGAATGTACATACTCTCTATTTCTCCAAACCCATTGCTTATAAGCTTCCATTGAGCTTCAGATAAAGAAACGAAACTGAATTTTTTCTATTTCACAGAAGAAATTGGGAAACAAGAAAATTCCATTCACCTGAGGATTTTCTTCTGTTTTTGGTTGCAATTTTGCCGGTCGCTGGGGAAAAAAATATCAGGTACCATCTATTTTCTAGTCAAAAAACTAGGACTCAATCTTGTCCGTTGATATGTTCCAGTTCGTATAATCAACGGTTACGATGCGATGATGATACATCGGGAAAAGTAATAGGCCTTATCTTATATAGTTTTAGGCCCAATGAAAGAGCCCAACATGTCTTGAACCTAAACGACATCGTTATGCAGAGCAAAACGCTACTCGAACAAAGGAGCATATCACTTGAAAGACGAAAAACCCTGAAAGCTATAGAAGAGCTGGGGTTTGAATTTGATTCCTGCAAACATCAACGACGATGCAATTAACTCTTGAATTCGGGTAAAATATCACTTTCTCTGTTACTGGTGAATTTGGTTTCTTTTGAGATTGTTTTCCTGATTGCTTCTGTGTAATGCTGAAATTGAAGAACTTGAACGATGTGTTTGTTTAGTTGTTGTTGTTCAATGATTGATCTTAGAAGAACAATGTGTAGGGGTGGGTTAGAGCTGCTCTGTGATTCTGAAAAGATTCATAAAGTTAACGTTGATTTGCCCAATGGAGCTGAATCTGATGATGTAAGCTTGAATTCTTATGTTTTTTTGGGGTCATAATGATTATATATAAAAGCTCATTCGACTTTTCTAATTCCTGGATTAGTTCACTATGAAGCATTTACTTTCATGGGTTCGTACAAATCTGATCAAAGAGAGACCTGAGATGTTCATGAAAGGAGATACTGTGTAAGACTACTTTTCTTCTTTATCAGCTCAATGTAGGTTAAGGTTTATGAATGATTTCTTCTTTATCAACTCAATGAAGGTTAATCAATGTTGTGCTTGTGCAGGAGACCTGGGGTTCTTGTGCTAGTGAATGAATGACTGTGATTGGGAGCTAAGCGGTCAGCTCGATACAAGAATCGAAGAAAAAGATGTTATAGTTTTCATTTCCACTTTGGATGAAAATATCTGATCACGAGAGCTTTTGTCTAGGATTCTTAACAAATTTTGATACTTGTTGTTTGTAATCTCTACGAGTACCCAACTTAATGTATTTGTTTACTTGAAGATTGATATTAGAGGATTTATCATTTTAAGAGTCCTTTCTGACATAACTACAATTAGATAGAACGTAACATATCTAATTTCGTCGTAGATCTTTGACGGCTCTGCTCAATTGGTAGCCAAGGAGGCTGCCTTTTTGTTGCAAACTTAAGCTTATCGCAGATGTAAAACACAGTTCTACGTAACCAACAAAGACACCATTGCAGCTGCAGAGTCAGGTCCATCGTTGTTTACACTTGGTATGATAACTTCAGGCGACGCTTTTTGCACAAACTCTTTTAGCTCCGTGAAGCTGCTATGCTCACTGTAAGGAACCTCGTACCTGAAAATTATATCAAGTTTCTCCGGATCATGATTTTGAGCTCAATGCCACAGGACATGAAGATCGGGAAAATTTTACCTTATTATTGTACCCTGTTGCAACCTTCTTCCTGGGGACTTCTTTTTAGTCTTACTAGATGTCCAACCAGTAGGAGAAAAGGTAACGATAAGGCTGTAACGGTTCTGCAGGACAAAAAACAGTATTAGAACTCATCCTCTAACGAGATCAGCCAAAAGAAAATCACTTTTGTTTGTTTCTCTTTGACAGTCAAACCGAATATATGTGTTTCTTACTGTGTATCGGTTAGCTATATGCTTCAGCCGCTTGAAACTGGCAAGCGTCCACAAGGGCACAACGTGAATGTGGCTCTCCTCTTCCTTCACTGTAAACCACTGCATATCTTCTTTTGAGAATCCTAAGCACTCGAGGAGTTTTAGTTTTGAAGGATTGATGTATATCTTTTCCCGTAGAACACGTGCAACTTCCAAGAACAGCCTCTCCTTTCCTTTCAAAAGAGAAAAGATGGAATAATTTAGATCTCAACATGATAATATCGAAACAGAAAAAGAAGGTGAACATATTACCGATGGTGTAGCTTCCAATTAAGAAAAGGGTCTTGGGATTAAATGCTTCTGCTTGAATAGCCTCAACAACAAACTGTATTACCGCCTCTTGCTTTGGAAAGTCATACTGCAAACAAATGATGGCATATGTATCAAACCACTCTTGCTTTGAAAAGAAAATGTAAACTCTAAGATCGTAGAAGTTCTCTTCTTTGTTCACCTTAAATGTAAACTGAAGAAATCACAAAAGAGTGGAATCATGCAGAAAAACTTGTGTGGCAAAAATGGATTTCAAATACAAATGTAAACCGCATAGAGATGATAACTGAAAAACTTGGGCTTTCTTTAAGCTACAAAGTCTTGATGGATGACGAACCTGGGGGTTACAGTATGTAGTATCAAGAATAAGAGAATTGATTTGCGATCCAATGAGCCAATCTGACATCTCTTCACTATAGCGAAAATCACCCGTATGTAGAACAGCCTATACAAAATTAACAGAGTCCATGGACAATTACTCTGTGAATGGAAAGTTAAACATAGGCTTATGACTACACACTGGAAGTGTCTAATTTAAGAACGCACCTTACCGTTGGTTGGTTCAAAGAGTATCATGATGGACCCCGGACAGTGGTTTGCATCAAAGCATGTCACATCAATGCCGGCAATATTAACCTTCTGGCCAAGGTCCAGGACTTGCAGTCTCTCCCAAGGGATCCCAATCTTCATATTTACCAACTTTGCGGTAACTAAGGAACAGTATATCTTCCCATGACTAAATGACTTTGTCAGACCTTGGTAATCTGTAAATGAGAATACAGAGACTTTAAGCATTGATTCCACGATAAGCAGGCTTCTTCTGTGTAGTAATTTATAATTAGACATACAGCAGACTACTTACGATCGAGATGAAAGTGTGTAAGAAACCAATGGCAACAATCGCGTGTGAGGTACTTGAATGCGTCCTGCATACATATATAAAACCAGAAAGTCACCAAACATAAATATTCAGCATCAGCAGGACGTTTTAAATCAACTTTCATGAGCATATTTGACTTGAATGAGAAGGAGAAATATGTAACAATGTTGCATTCATGAGCTATAAATTTGACGAAGAAGTAAAACCATGGCCTGGCTTGTTATGAAGAATTACCACTCGAAAAGGTGTCCCAGGAATGCAATTCCAATGTGGAATGACTTTAGATTTTCCATTGTTGCCATTTCTTCTCACAGCACGTCTAGAGTTTAAATCTGATGGACTCCTTTCTACGACAGGTTCTTTAGGGGCCTTCCGGATCTTCATACCCTCGGTAGCCTGACCAGGGAAAAATTCTGTAATCAACTTGTTTGCAGTTGGTTTTTTGGGTTCACTTGCCCAACGATTGGTTGACTTGTCCCTCCGTCTCTCTGTAACATGGCCACTTGTACAATGAGACTGTGCATGTGCTTCAGCTGAAGATGCAAAGGGTTCTCTAAGTCCGCAAAGTGCATTGACAATCTTCTTTCTGGGACCAAGTGACGTGATACCTATGCTTAGAAGATCCTGTGGAATTATAACCTTGTTAATTCTCAATCCTGTTTCTCTGTGTAAACAAGTAAGCTATATATACATGCACATAAATAAATAAAAACTGATTGTGATAGAGCTTCTGTTCCATAAAGTTATGATATTCTATTACCTCCTCAGTGAGTGACTGAAGGGTATCCCAGTCGATCTCTTCACGAATAAAAACATCTTCATATTTAGCTAAACCTAGACTCCTAAGCCATTTAAGCACTGGAGACAGGTCAGTAACTAGCTGAGGAAGCTGAACTGGATCATCAGTCGATTCTTCAATAAGAGAAGACGAATTATCGCATTTCCTCAAGGAGTCCTACAATAATCATATTTACAAATCAGCAGTCAATCAATGGCGTAATGAAGTAACAATTGAACAAAATCCAAACACTTCTGAGTCCTACAATAATCATATTTCATTGTTTTACCCTAAAATTGAAGGTTGATATCAATTCCAGTTATGAGATAAGAAAGAAGCTTACTTGCTCAGGAGGCTGATCATATGACTTATCAAGACAAGTATTGCTATGAACTTGCCTTTGCTCTTCACTCAAAGCTGAAATATCCATTGAACACAATGGACACTGAATCGAATCATCATTGCCTAAACTACACTCTCCACTCCTACCCTCAGACTCAGAACAAAGCTTTATCAACACATCAAGCTCAGAGTTGGACTCAACAAACTCTTCATCATCCTCATGGATTCCACGATCAAACCCGAGACGAATCCTAGATTTCAATAACCTAGCCTCCATCGAATTACACAAATAACCTTCACGATTCACCTTTATACAGTCGTCCTTATCCACTTTATCGATTAAAACTTGGTCGTCTTCACCGAGAGAAGAAATTGGACCAATAGAGCAATCAACACTAGATGGGATACAATCTAAGCTACAGTGTGGAGTAGAAGAGGAGCATAACAGATCCGCATCCGGAGACGGAGGCGGAGTCACATTCTCCTTACCAGGATTACGGCTGAGTCTGGGCTTTTTGTTTGGAGGGCGGCGGTGAGAGAAGTTGTTAGCGTTGGTAGGTTGAAGAGGTTTTCGAATGGAAAGCTGTGAGGAAGGAGGGATCTGGAAGTCGTCGTCGTCATCTTCGACGGTGTTCGACATTAGGTTCCGGCGAGGCAAAAGAGAGAGAGAGAGTGTTAAACCACAGTACAGACTACAGATAAAGCGAAAGAGCGAAGACGACGACGTTCCGGCTTCAAAACGACAGATAAGTCGCATTTTATCATTTGTTTTAATTTTTTAATGGACCAAAATTAATTTTTTTAAAAATTGCGGCAAAAGGTGTACCTTTTCAATAAACAAGAGGGAAAACAAAAAATTGGGAAGATAAATATTATTATTACAAATTCGTAAGGCTTTTAAAATGGTTACAATTTAAAAATATCTTTCTATTGCTATAATTTTTTAATTATTATTTTATTCACCAATACTCAATCCATAAATTTTTTGTACAATTTTTATTAATGTCTTCTTATTTCTTGCTTTAAAAAAAAAAAAAAGATTTTTACCCCTTTTAAATTCTTGCTTTAAATCCGACAAATGATTTTCGAAATTAATAATGTGGGATTGTGAAATACTAAAATTAGGTGGAAGAAGAAACGTGGTCAAATATAGCCCAATAAATTAAAGTGGACCGGATGTAATATTTGTTCAGCCCAAAATGTTAATGTTGATAAAGTTGAAAGAAAAGTAATGTTACCAGTGGGCCTTTTCGGACCAGAACCTATAAGGCAGCCTTGTGGTGCGAATTATGGTTTTACATCTTCCAAGAGCATTTGTCGGCTTATTCCATACTCTCTTGAGTCTTGTCGTAGCAGAATCCCTGATAAGCTAACCAAAATGGTTAGTTCTCGTTTCTCAGTCTCTAATCTCGTTTCGATTCTCTTGTTTAGAACATTAGAGACGGCCTTAATATATTTTTCATCGTCGAATCTGATAGTTTCTGTAGGGAAAAGCAAAGAACAAATCGAATTAGGTTTCAAGCTTTTCTTCTCTTAGGGTAATTCTTAGGTTTTAAGAGATTTGGATTTCGTGATTTGATTCATTCACCACAAGTGAGATTAATTTGAATGAATGTGTATTTCAGGTCCTTCAAAACGATATTGATCTGCTTAACCCACCTGCTGAGCTTGAGAAGAGGAAGCACAAGCTTAAGCGTCTTGTTCAGTCTCCCAATTCATTTTTCATGGTAAAAACTTCAAACCTTATTGCTACCTATGAATTGAATTCTGGAGTTTGGTTCTCTCATGACTCTTATCAATTAACATCATTTGGGTGCTCACTCTAATCATTTTGATGTTGTGGTTGATGTAGGATGTCAAGTGTCAAGGCTGCTTTAACATGTAAGCTTTTTTGAACGTCTGAATCTGCTAATGTTTTTGGTTATAAATCTATATGAAATAACTAAGTGATGGGTTTGGATTTGGTGCAGTACAACGGTGTTCAGCCACTCTCAGACCGTTGTGGTGTGTGGAAACTGCCAGACTTTGCTTTGCACACCCACCGGAGGAAAGGCAATGCTCACTGAAGGATGCTCTTTCAGGAAAAAGGGAGACTGAAGAAGAAGATGATTCCATTCACTTACCCACAAAATTTATTTTCGTTTATTATGAAATTTGGTTGATATTTGAGCTAGTAACATTCTTTGTCGATTACCCTCTCTTTTATAATATGGATTTTTGACTTGAATTTAATCAGAAGCTCGTTCCTCTATTAGGAATGATTATGTTTTTTTTTTTATATCTGCCTTCTTTTTAGAGGCAATGCTGAAAGAGCCATGTTACTGGTTATAATATGATCTTCGTTTATATAAAGTTATAGACCAAACGATCTACAACAATTGAAATCGAACATGAAATGAGCTTTTCTTCACTCATAAAGCGATGGTATTTGTTTACCACCATCAATGTAACATTATATTATTATAATGAATATTCTAGTCGACCAAAACAAAAACAAAAGAGTTGGTCGAAGATTTCTACACTTTGCTGCCACTTAAGCACTTTGTAGAAATTTGTTTACACACGCACTTTCCCACTCTTGTCTCCACTGAATAACAATCCTTCAAGACCAATTGTAAGTGTGCCGATCGTATGCGTTGAGAACATCTTCCCTCTTTCTTCAAAACTGTGTATAACAAACATGAGAGATGATTCAGATTTCATTAGACAACTGATGGTTAGGTTAGACTTTAGAGTACAAACTAGAGAGGTTCTCGGATTAAGTTTCACTTACGAAGGTAGATCATATATGCCAACTGTTCCGTTTTGGTAAGAGCATAATATAATTGGCCTGGCCTCTGCATCGTGTAATCCACAAAGAGCATGCACACTCTGTTTCAAACCAGAAAATAAGAGTCAGGATGCTATTTCTTAAAAACTAAGTCTTCTTATTGTTCTTGTTATTACAACTCACTTGTTCTTGGCTGCGTTTATGGATAACTTTCAAGTTGGGACTTTCCGAAGAGCCCTAGACTTTTATGTTCCCGTCCAATGAAGACGATAACAAATATTGATCCCAACATAGGAGCGACGTGACAGTGTCGCTATGCTGCCTCAATGTCATTATACACTGCAATGTGTCGAGATCCCACACCTGAAAATTACAGTGAACAATTTGCTTGGAATCAATTCTATAACATGACAAGTTTTTATTCGGCAAAGATTGAAATAAATGGAACCATCCCCGTACCTTTATTGTTTAATCCACAGAACCAGAGTAAAGCCTCTGACCTCCAACAACGAAACACTTGACTTCATCACTATGTCCCTCGAGAGATGTGAGGTATTTGAAAGGATCAGACTCGGTGTCAGTACCTTTCCAGACTGATATATTACCAGACTGTAATTCCAACGAGACCAAAAAGGAACACACTTTAGATCTGGATGAAATAACGGGAAAGCAAAGAACTAAAAGAGGTAGAGATGGAGTAAGTTAAAAGGCTTACACTTGTCCCAGCAAAAAGCATTCCGTTTCCAATAGCAATTGCATTCACCTGACCTCCTACCGAACCATTGAGATGCAAATCTTTACAGGTCTGAACATTAAAAGCCTGCAAGATGTTACAGCAAAATTTGAGACCAGAGTCAAGACGAATCCCACTGAATTTCAAAGGATGGTATTTTGAAAACAGATAAACGTCCTGAGTTTAGAATGCCATAGACTAATAACCTTTACAGCATTTGGCAAGCCAAGGAAAACCCAAGGTCTTTCACTAATCAGAGACCCTGCTTCTGCCTGGAGGTTGATCTCATGCACACATTGACCAGTATGGCAGTCCCATATTCTCAAAGCACCATCACCACTGGCTGAGTAGAGTTTATCAGAACCTTGAGGGAGGGCAATCCCCTTTATATCCTCCGGTCAAGAAAAATTACATGTGAATAAATTCTGCTTCCATTCAGCCAACACTCAAAACGAAACCATGATGCATACCATGCTAAAAATAATATCGAAGTAGAGGATCACAGCAGTATGTGAATAGTACCTTCTTGTGTCCTTGAAGAGTAGCTACCATCACCAAGCCAGGAAAAAAAAGACCAAGAGTGTAAGAACTCGCATTGCTCACCCTTCTTGCTCACAAGCCATAGACTATTTTCGGAGTTCCACTCGCAGTAGTAAAAAACCATCAAAACTCAAATCCAAAAGCTTCGGTGATTTCACAACCACGAGTTCATAGACATACATATAAAACCCTAAATAACAACAAAAGAAAATCAAAGAAGTGATCTCTAGCTCCAACAATCGTACATAGCAGAAAAACCTGAATTCACGAACAATGTTTGTGAAACCCGAGCTTCCACGCGAATAGGATGACGGAGATCAAGAAGAAGCGGAAACTCTAACTGAAAGCACGAAGACATCATAATCTCTCTGAGATGCGTAGTAGCCCGAAGAAGAAGCAAACCTGATGGATCAAACGCGAGAATCTAGATCTTCAGTTAGGATTAGAGCAAACTTTACGATTCGAGAATTTCAATTTCAGATCAATCGGGAACCCAGAAATCCAGAGAGAGAGAGAGGGAGACGACAAAATCAAGGAGAAAGGTATTATTATAGATTAGCGTAGAATTGAAGTTCTCGTTTAATATTGGGCTTCAAATTTAGGCCCATCATTACATACATGACAAATAGCTAAACGTTCCGTTTTGGGTTCTGAGACAGAAAATTGATTTTTTGGGTTCAAATAAGTTTGATTAAACAAACAAAATATATTACTCCCACCGTCCAACAAAGATAGATATTTTAGAAATTTCATATCTTTTAAGAAATAATGTATAATGACAATTTTAACCTTTTAACATATTTTAAGAAAAATATTATTTATTATTGTTTAATAAGAGTAAAATATGTAAATTGTTTTAAATTTGACATTGGAAATACAAAAAAATTTTTATGGAACAAATTTTTATTCTAAAAAATTCATTTTTGTGGGACAGAGAGAGTATCATTTATAATTTAATTTTAAATAAATATGAAATGTGAAAATCTTAGTTAGAATGGGGGGTACTGGCTTTAGATAAGATAGGTCTTAGCGATAATTATTTATTTTACCATAAAATGATTATGAAAATCGGAGGATGATTAGCTCTAAAGAGTTACATTAATGATCTAAATGGTAAAATTAATTAATCACAAAAGCCGATGCTCTCAACAGACAGCACAGCAGACAAGTGCGTGCCGTTTCGTGCACGTTAAGAAGGCCCACAAAGCATCACGCGCCTCGGTCCCCTCGACACTTTCTCTCAAAAGCCGATGATGCTTGAACCAATGGCATTTTCGTTAATTAAAAGAACACATAAGGTCAATTTTACCGATTGGCACACGTGTAGCTCCCGAGAAGACTAGTCATACGTCCACATCATCTGATCAACGAGCCATTTCAAATTCCAATCGCATCCCAACCGTTCGATTAGGTTCATAAGATGGAACTAGAGCCGCTCGATCGGAAGAATTTGAAAATTCTCGCGATACGATAAAAATCGTGCGTTACGGCGCTGTCGGAACAAATCTAAAGCTGACTAAACGACCCTGACACAGCTCCTTCTCTGTCTGAAAGAGAGTTTCTGCTTTTGTTTTTGATTCAATTTCGAAATTCAAAGTTCGTTAGACAGTTAGTTTCTTTGGTTCAGATAGGAAACCCAGAAGCTAAAGCATAGATCTTTCTTTCCAGGTAATTGTTAAATCGTTTAATCTCAAAAAGATGATCTTCATGTTCTGTTTGAATCTCTTGCATTTTACACAAGCTCTAAGGAAAAATTAGAAAAGCTTTTTTCGTTTCTTTTCTTATAGTGAAGACAAGTTGTGGATTTGTCACCAAACTTGTGTGTAGTGTGTTTTAGTGGAGTTTGGTTCGAAATCTTCTCTTTAAAACAAAGTCTCTCTTCTCTCTTTATTGCTTTTCCTCTAAAACCAGCTTAATCTTCAATCTTTGTGGTTTTTAATCTGTGTTTGAACCTCTTGTTCTTCAGAAGGGTATTCTTATCTTTATTTTTCAGGAGCCTTCTCATTAAAATAAATATACTATCATGTAATAGATGCTGATTGTGATGATTCTTCTATTTATTTATTAGCATATCATTAGCTTTTTTATAGCACTTATTGTTCACACCGACGAATTAAAGGAAATTGGAAAATGACTTGTAAATTTTTTGTCTGGTAGGGTTTTGTTCTCCAGCAAAATATCGATAAGCTTTTCTGTGATGATTTTCAAGATTCTCGAAACTCTTTTGATGGCTTCTTCCTTTTTGTTTTAAAATCCGTGTCCTTATTTATAACAAATCTACCAACTTGTTCATCACTCATTCAACTACTCCCTTCATTACTTTAGTTCCCCACTTTTGATTTTTTTCCTATTACAGAACTAAAGTTTCCATTATTTGCCAGTGTGTCTCACTCATCAAGGCATTACATGATCGTTTCTGGGTTTGTTTTTTTTCTTTCTGTAAATCGCTAAACTTTTGTTTTTTGTCCTTCTTTTGTGCAATTCAGTGAAACAGAGTTCAAGGATTGTATTTGTGTGTGATCATGGTGGAGCAGATAACTGGAAACGAAACTCTGGTTGACCCAACAGTTGAAGATTTGTTATTACAGGCACAAGAGCTTGTACCGATGGCTTTGTCCAAAGCAAGAACAGTGAAAGGTTTCTCAAGCAGATGGAGAGTGATTATTTCAAGATTAGAGAAAATACCGACATGTTTATCGGATTTGTCTAGCCATCCTTGCTTCTCTAAACACACTCTATGCAAAGAGCAACTTCAAGCGGTCTTAGAAACTTTGAAAGAAGCCATCGAGCTCGCTAATGTTTGCGTAAGTGCGAAGCAAGAGGGGAAGTTAAAGATGCAGAGTGATCTAGATTCTCTATCTGCCAAAATTGATCTTAGCTTGAAAGATTGTGGATTGCTTATGAAAACAGGTGTTCTTGGAGAAGTTACAAAAACTTTATCTTCTTCGACTGAAGACTTGGAAACGTTTAGCGTTAGAGAATTGCTTGCTCGGCTTCAGATAGGTCACTTGGAGTCTAAACGCAAAGCGCTTGAGCAGCTCGTTGAGGTAATGAAAGAAGACGAAAAGGCGGTTATAACCGCTTTAGGTCGGACCAATGTCGCTTCTTTGGTGCAGCTTTTGACTGCTACTTCGCCTAGCGTAAGGGAAAACGCGGTGACTGTGATCTGCTCTCTAGCCGAGTCAGGCGGATGCGAAAACTGGCTTATATCTGAGAACGCATTGCCTCCATTGATACGGCTACTAGAATCGGGAAGTCCTGTTGCTAAGGAGAAAGCGGTTATTTCGTTGCAGAGGATGTCAATTTCATCAGAGACATCGCGTTCCATTGTTGGTCACGGCGGGGTTAGTCCGTTGATCGAGATTTGCAAAACAGGGGACTCTGTTTCTCAATCAGCTTCTGCTTGTACTTTAAAGAACATTTCCGCTGTGCCTGAAGTAAGACAGAATCTAGCGGAGGAAGGAATCGTTAAAGTGATGATTAATATACTTAACTGCGGAATCCTATTGGGATCTAAAGAATACGCAGCGGAATGTCTTCAGAATCTCACTTCAAGCAACGAAACTCTTCGAAGATCGGTTATATCAGAGAATGGGATTCAAACTCTGCTAGCTTACTTAGACGGTCCTCTTCCTCAAGAATCAGGAGTTGCAGCAATACGGAATCTTGTTGGCTCTGTTTCTGTAGAGACTTACTTCAAGATAATCCCAAGTTTAGTCCATGTTCTTAAATCAGGATCAATCGGAGCTCAACAAGCGGCTGCATCAACTATCTGCAGGATAGCTACATCAAATGAGACGAAGAGAATGATCGGTGAATCAGGTTGTATCCCGTTGTTGATAAGAATGTTGGAGGCGAAAGCGAGTGGAGCTAGAGAGGTTGCTGCTCAAGCTATAGCGAGTCTGGTTACGGTTCCAAGGAATTGCAGAGAAGTAAAGAGAGATGAGAAGAGTGTGACGAGTCTTGTGATGTTGCTTGAGCCGAGTCCGAGTAATTCTGCAAAGAAGTATGCGGTTTCGGGTTTGGCGGCTTTGTGTTCAAGCAGGAAGTGTAAGAAGCTGATGGTCTCACACGGAGCTGTTGGTTATTTGAAGAAGCTGTCGGAGTTGGAGGTTCCTGGGTCAAAAAAGCTTCTTGAAAGGATTGAGAAAGGGAAACTAAGAAGTTTCTTTAGTAGGAAGTAGAAGAAAATGAAGCAACGTGGTATATATATAATGTATTTGATATGTTTCATAATCTGTATGAAACTCGGCCAATGATATCTTGTGTGGTCACCGTATGTATAATATATTTTGTAATGTTTTCATATGACCAGATGCACAAAATATCTAAAAATGGTTCAAGCATATCAGTCTTCAGTTGTGGACATACAAAACGATCAAGAAATTTGAAGGTAAATGGATGTATTATCTTAAAATATCCGGCAAAATTTTCAATTATTTGGAGTGTTCTCATAATCTCAGCCCTTAATGTTACAACAACAACAACCACAAAGACCTTAAAGACCAAACATCAAACCACAGTTTCTGGTTTTGAAAACAACAGTCAAGTGGTAGAGATTCTGATGCCACTCAGAACATAGCCTCCAAAAGAACTCATCTGCATGTGAGGATGAGATCTTGAAGGAAGCACCTGCATTTTTAAGATACATATATCATTCAACCCCATCTTGATGATCTGTTGAGATTAAAACACACAGAAAAAAGAGAATATTATCAGACCTGATATTCGCGTAGCCATGGTTCTGTTATTTGCAGATTGATCGCCATCTTCCCCTGTTGAAGCTTGTGCATACATGTCGCCAGCGGCTGTGATTATTATCAAGAGATTTTTGTTCATTATTACCAAATATAATGAAAAGCTTTGAACAAGTTCATTTAGCTATAGGTCTACTACTGTATGTAGCCTAAAGACCAAACGTAGCAGATTAGAGCTTTTCTGACTTGGATAGAGAGCAGTTGGTAATAGCTTTTTTCTTATGACATACCTGTAAATACTGATGATATATTACAAAGGGAGCAGAGTAAGACAGCAGTGGCAATACATCTTTAGCTACGCTCCATGGGTCTTGGTCTTGCGCAGCGATGATTAGGCTGCGAATCAGACAATCATTAAGTGATGAGCGCAAACCATTTTCATTCATAAAACACTAATACTTACCTCGAAAAGCCGTTTTCTCGCCACATCTCTATTGTTTCTTTTGAAGCTTTGGCTCCAGCTTTTGCGGCTTTGATAACTTTGCTCTCTGGTACAACAATATCTACTACTCCAGCCTCAGTTGTCGCAGATATTTCTTCTACCATAATATCAGATGTAGATGACGTTTCCTGCATTTTTCAATTAAAACCTTCTGTTACAATCACATGATTTTCTCAAATTAGGACTCAAGTGAAACGGTAGAGGTTTGCAACTTGCATTAATATTATTCTCAGCGTTACAAACTCCTTCTTGTTGATTGTTTCCTTCAGGAGACGCAGTATTGGCTGACGAGAGCTCGTTTATCGATGACTGCACGATCCTACACACGAGAAAAGGAACACACAAATGTCAATTACAGATACATAGCTACAATTAGAGACTAGAGAAAAAGACTTGGGGGACCAATCGAACATACCTCTCTAAAACCTTGTCACTAAAGTTGAACATCCTTACCATCTCCACAGGATAAGGAGCACTTCCCTTATATGTATTGCAAACATAACCAGTGCCTGTTAAAAGGAATATATACAAATAAGACACACAGTAGCAGGGGCATATTGTTGCAAGAATATGCAATGGTCTTATTAATGTGATGTAGGATTGCAAAAAGGTCATACCTCCTAATCTTTCAGCCACTGCACCAGTGACAAGGCCACCAACCATATCCACCACAAGCACATCCGAGTATGCAGTGACATTAGCCATTGTTAACAGAAGAGACAACGCATCTACTCGTAAGAATCTACAACACAAAAAAAAAAGATATACAGCACCATCAATACATAATTCAAATCTCAACAGAGATATAAAAAAGGATTCAGGATCTTCAGAATACACAAGTAAAGAAACAAACAAGTGTACTTACCCAATTCTGGCGGGGTATTTCTTGAAATAAGCTTCACATATACTGTTAAACATAAAGAGATTCATTCATAAGAGAAACGGAAGAAGTCGAAAACAAAAAAAGACAGAAAAATCGAATAAATAAATACCTTCTAGCAAAAGGCCGTCGAAGAAGAAGCTTTGGTGCATATTTCTTCTGCTTTTTAAGCTTATATTTTTCCTACAAGAAGTAAAAAGACAAATTCAATTATATGTCTCCCAAACTTTCAAAGTAGAAGCAGAGAGATTAACAATATAAATACATTACCTGAGACAACTGAAACTTCTTATCAAATGTTTTGCTGTTTGCAATTAGAGCTTCAATAATTTCATCCCCTTTTGCACCCTCTCTACTCATAAAAGAGAAAAACTTTAGCAAATCTTCCAATGTCTGCATTCAATATAATAAACACAGAGGATATAAAAAATTCTTCTAACCTCCGCATTGCTTCAATTTCTTCACCAGTAAGGTTCTGAGCTTCATTGTTGTCGACGATTTCCCGATTATCTCTAGAATCGTCCATAACATTATTACTGCTATTTTCTGTGTAAGCAAACATCAATTAGAGCAAATTCATCTATCTATAACCAAAATCAATGACTAACATTATAAATTTATAAAATTTGAATTCAGTATAAAGGATAATGTGAGTTTGGTATTCAATAACAAACCTTGTTTAATGGGAAAAATGCGAGAGAGGAAAGAACCATCTTCTCCGGTTTCGACTTGGAACAGAGATCCAAACGGAGCTCCGATCAATGGCTTTAAAGAATAATTCTTATTCCCAATCTTTAATATACTGTAAGAATATAGAGAGAAAAAAATCAAAAACCAAATTCAAAACAATAGAATTGAGGATGAGAATCAATCTGGATAAATTAAGATATTGAGGAAGAAGAAGACGCACGCGCCACCAGATAAACGAGCGAAAACGAGACGGTCACCATCGTTGACGTCGAGCAAAACGCTGCAACCTTCGCAAGCAAATCTGGGATTTGGATCTTGAGGCTTTTTATCCTCCGACATGACTGTCTGATCTTTATCGAGTTCCATCGAAACAAAAAAAAGAGACTGCAGTTATGTTTGGTTAGTTTCAGTTCTGATTATGAATGACGGATTAGTAAGTAAAGTAGTAAACCCTAACTAACGACTAAGGTTTTGTCGGTTAAATAAAGAGCGGTTTAATGTTAATAAGTGAGGCCAAAAGTTAGAGCCCATTTAGGTGAAACATTAAAGGGCTTCTTTGGAGGTGCTATTGGCCCAAATAATGTCTAAAAAAGCCACGTGAACTTGCAATCTTTTTGCCCTAGATATGTGTGCCACGTGGTTGGGACGCGCGAAATATCCTCAACTTCCGAAAGCAGAGTGAGAGTCAACATGATCGACGGCTGAGTATGAGGGATCGAAGAGCTGATGGGGTTGACCCAACGACGTGTTTTGTCTGTTTATCGGGAAACGAAGATGACCAAACAAGCCCTATCTCCGATTACACATACAATCAAAAGAAGATCAAGACAAAACAGAAGGCATTGCGAATTTTAATTGATCGCTCTCTCTCTCTCTCTGTTCACACATCTCTCCCAAAGGTATTTCGATTCGAAATTCTCTTGATTTCTCTGATTTCTTTCAATTTTAAATCCGAAATTGAGATACTTTCGTGGTGTTCTTGATGATTTTCTTCGATCGAAAGTAATAGAATTTTCCAATTTTGGTAGATATTTTGGAATTTGATTAGTAGGTAGAAGAAGATGGGGACGACATTAGATGTGTCAAGAGCAGAGCTAGCACTTGTGGTAATGTATTTGAACAAAGCAGAGGCAAGGGATAAGTTATGCAGAGCGATACAGTATGGTTCCAAGTTCTTGAGTGGTGGACAACCTGGTACTGCTCAAAATGTTGACAAATCTACTAGCTTAGCCAGAAAAGTCTTTCGTCTTTTCAAGGTTAATCCTTTTTTTGCTGCTTTAGATTTTGATTGGACTGTGTTTTAGCTCTTTATTAATCAACTAAATATCATTGTTGCAGTTTGTGAATGACTTGCATGGTCTCATCAGTCCTGTGCCTAAAGGGACTCCTCTTCCTCTTGTTTTACTTGGAAAGGTATGTGCTTTAGAGCTCATAGCTCAGTGTTTCATACAAAGATTTCTTAGTCCCCTTGTTTTATATCTTTGTTCTGTACCAATCTTTGTTGTTATTTTCAGTCGAAAAACGCACTTTTATCTACATTCTTGTTCCTGGATCAAATTGTCTGGCTTGGGAGATCAGGAATATATAAGGTGAGACTGTGAGAGAGATCATCAAGTTTATGTACCACTGGTGTATTCAAGTTTTGTGTTTTGGCTAATGTCTTATGTGTATCTCAACACAGAACAAAGAACGAGCTGAGTTACTTGGACGTATATCTCTTTTCTGCTGGATGGGATCTTCTGTATGTACAACTTTAGTCGAGGTCTGTCTCTTCTTTCGCTTTCCCGATCGATTCCGCATGTCACCTTGGTCTTTTTCGCCGCTTATTTATGGGTTTTCACTGTTAATAGGTTGGTGAGATTGGAAGGCTTTCTTCATCAATGAAGAAGATCGAAAAGGGACTCAAGCATGGAAACAAGTATCAAGTAAAGTTCTCTCCTTTTGTCAAGAACCTTCTAATTCTACAAAATCCTATAGTAAGAAACTCAATTCCTGTTTATCAAATTGTGTAAACTTGTAGGATGAGGAATATCGTGCTAAGCTAAAACAATCAAACGAGAGGTCACTTGCTTTGATCAAATCGGCTATGGACATTGTTGTAGCAGCTGGTCTTCTTCAGTTAGCTCCAAAGAAGATCACTCCTCGTGTCACCGGAGCTTTTGGATTCATCACCTCCATCATTTCTTGTTACCAGGTAACACTTGTTTCATCCACAAAACCTTTACTTTACAATGTTTACAATGTCGTAACTTTCTCTTCTGATCTTTATATGATTCTCATTATTATTCTCCACAAACACAGTTGCTTCCGACACGCCCCAAGATCAAAACACCCTGAAGTCGATCGAGGAAGCTGGTGTTAAGGAGAAAGTCATTTCAGAAAGTTATGTTGGTCTTTTATTAAGGAAATTTGCTGCTGTTATAAAACATCGTATAAAATACTTTGCAGGAATGATGATTATAATAATTATGTTTATGCCTCAGATTCTTGATACACAAGTTTTAATAGTATTGCATTATTATGAGATGTTGTTTCTGCAAAGCAAAAACTAGAGCAAAATCCAACTACATATGTGTTTTGATCTGATTATTATAGATTTTGGGCTTGTTTTCGCCTAAAGCTACAACTGGGAGCGCATCCATGCATCGTGGAACGCTCATTTTACAATGAAACGCCATTTTTCATATTAAATATAAAAATCCTCGATATTTTTCTAATAAAATATCTTGAAAGTTGTTGATAGGCCATGCATGAATAAGAAGACTTTGGGATTTTGATACGGAAATTTCAGATTTAGTTTGATTTTTTTTTTTTACCTTTGTTCAATTTAGTTTTGGATTAAACTTTAAATTTAAATCATAAGAAAGCGACTATTTTTATTATTTTATTTTATTTTGTCAAAGGGGCATCGTTAAGATCTGTTATAATTTGGATAATCTTAACAACTTATCAGTAAGATCTGTTATAATTTTTATTTTTGTAAACTTGAGTAAGGTTCGATAAATCGCTTCGATTCCATTTGTTTCTAATGTTTCCAGTCCAATGCCATTTGTATTGTTTGGTTTGGTTTGGTGTAACTCGTGTAAGGTGCAGAATGATGGTTTTTACCAAAAAAAAAAAAAAAAAAAAGGTGCAGAATGATGTTTGGAATTCAATTGTTTATTAATTTAAAACAAATTACAAGTATTACAAACGCAAACCAAACTCTCACTGTGTTTTACGATTCCAATGTACATTGCTTCTTTGGGCTTTCTTCACAATCCCGCAAGGTTTAAACTTCCTCTGGCCCCCGAAAAAAGTTCATATTACATTCCCATAACTGGCGTATATACAGAGCAAAAGAGAATCTCAGTTGTGCTTTTTTGAATTAAAACGGTGTATGTATGTAAACCGGGAAACCATCAGAAAAGTGCTTCGGTTAAGCATTAAAATTGGATCATACCGGTGAAAAGTGCAATTGGGATTGCGTCTCTTTGCATCCAAAGGACCCAAACGGACCCCTCATCACCTATATATCAACCTTCACTCGCTTCATCGGAGCGTGGACTTTCACGTACGCAAATTCTTTAGTCAATTTACTTCCTTTTAGAAAAATGGTAATCACAAAATGTTAGTAAAAGATATATTTCTCATAATACAATCCATGAATATATCACAAAATCCTTAATTTTCCAAATTTTCTAGAAATAACAAATCTAATAATTCGATGAAAATGGAAAAGAATAATATTTTGAACAAAATAATTTCCCCATTGTTGCCTATGACTAGCTCGCACGTTTTAAGCCTAATCTCTCACGAACGATACATAAAAAAAAAAATCAACACATTGACCCTTTGACCTTAAAGCGCGTATCTAACACTCGCTTCTATTTTCTCTCATCCCTTTATATTACACCATCGAACCACTTCATATCAACCCTTGAAAACTTCACTAGTCACACATTCGATTCACTCATCGTTGTGTCTATATATAAAATATTTCAATTTGGTTTCTAAATAATTCTACCGTTGATTGATTTTTTTTTCTTTAAGAGATGAATTTATTTACAAGGATATCATCTCGGACTAAGAAGTCCAATCTTTACTACGTAACCCTAGTTGCGCTTCTCTGCATCGGTAGCTACCTTCTCGGTATTTGGCAAAACACGGCGGTGAATCCACGCGCCGCCTTCGATGATTCAGACGGTACACCGTGCGAGCAATTCACCAGACCGGATTCGACGAAAGATCTCGACTTCGACGCGCATCACAACATTCAAGATCCACCTCCGGTGACGGAAACCGCCGTTAATTTCCCGTCGTGCGGCGCCGAGTTGAGCGAGCACACGCCGTGCGAAGACGCGAAGCGATCGCTGATATTCGCGAGGGAGAGATTGGAGTATAGGCAAAGGCATTGTCCCGAGAGAGAAGAAATCTTGAAATGCAGAATTCCGGCGCCGTACGGTTACAAAACGCCGTTCCGGTGGCCGGAGAGTCGTGACGTGGCGTGGTTCGCTAATGTGCCTCACACGGAACTCACGGTTGAGAAAAAGAATCAGAATTGGGTCCGGTACGAGAATGATCGGTTTTGGTTCCCTGGTGGCGGTACGATGTTTCCACGTGGCGCTGATGCTTACATTGACGATATCGGACGGTTGATTGATCTCAGCGACGGCTCTATCCGTACAGCCATCGATACCGGTTGCGGGGTACGTTCAAATTCTCTTCACTCTGATTAAACCGAACCCCCCGGTTTGATTTGATTTTGCCTTTCTATCAAGAATGCATATTCGTTATCTTTATTTTTAAGCTTCAAATTAAAGGAAAAAAAAAAAAGATTTTCCCTCAATCGAATAATCTGTTGGGACGTTCATATATTAACTAACAAAATACTGTATATTCATGTATATCCATATCTAGTCACATCTAATCTAAATTCCATTTGATTAGTGTATTCTTATATATGTGAAAAATAATTAAATTTTGGAATTAGTGCATTTTGTAGATTTAATCTTAATTTTGCATATTCTTTTTTCAACATTTTTGGTTTCTGAGTGTGACCCACTAAGTCACCTAATCGTCTAATGTCACTGTTGACCTACTCATACTTTACCGTTAAACCTGTAAAGTTGAAAAAATAAACTAGTAGTTGTGAACAAAGAGTCAAAATGAAGAATATCTTTTCTTGTCTCTTAGTTTGACTTAATTTGTCAAAACAAGAATATCATATGCCTTTGAGTTTTGTTGGGATGTTCAATCAAATGTGTCTTTGGTTTTTCAGGTGGCTAGCTTCGGTGCATATCTTTTATCAAGAAACATTACAACGATGTCATTTGCACCAAGGGACACACACGAGGCTCAGGTCCAGTTTGCACTCGAGCGTGGCGTGCCGGCGATGATCGGAATCATGGCTACAATCCGCTTACCGTACCCTTCTAGAGCCTTTGACTTAGCACATTGCTCTCGTTGCCTTATCCCGTGGGGCCAAAACGGTTCGACTCTAAACCCTAAACAAGTACGAAATGACTCCCTTTTGAGTTCTAACACTTTGTGTGTGTGCTGCAGATGGGGCTTACTTGATGGAGGTGGATAGGGTTTTAAGACCAGGAGGGTATTGGATACTTTCTGGACCGCCGATAAATTGGCAGAAACGGTGGAAGGGATGGGAGCGGACGATGGATGATTTGAATGCAGAACAGACTCAGATCGAGCAGGTCGCGAGAAGCTTGTGTTGGAAGAAAGTTGTGCAGAGAGATGATCTTGCTATTTGGCAAAAACCCTATAACCACATTCACTGTAAGAAAACCAGACAGGTTTTGAAGAATCCGGAGTTTTGTCGTCGTGATCAAGATCCCGACATGGCCTGGTAATCAATCAGTTTCTATATCTAAGATTTAAAAATGTTAGAATTTGGCTATAAATTTCGAATGATTCAGGTATACGAAGATGGATTCTTGTTTGACACCATTACCTGAAGTTGATGACGCGGAGGATCTAAAGACAGTGGCCGGAGGGAAGGTAGAGAAGTGGCCGGCTAGGTTAAACGCAGTTCCTCCGAGAGTAAACAAAGGCGATCTCAAGGAGATCACACCTGCAGCTTTCTTGGAGAACACGAAACTGTGGAAACAGAGAGTTTCTTATTACAAGAAATTAGATTACCAGTTGGGTGAAACCGGGAGATACAGAAACTTAGTCGACATGAATGCTTACCTTGGTGGATTCGCGGCGGCTTTAGTCGATGATCCGGTCTGGGTCATGAACATTGTCCCGGTCGAGGCTAAGCTCAATACGCTCAGTGTAATTTACGAGCGTGGTCTAATCGGAACGTATCAAAACTGGTTAGTTTAAACCGAACTTAAACTAAACCAGAATTTTCTTGTGGAAAGTTATGATTTGATCCGGTTTTTCTCCTTTTTGTTAGGTGTGAAGCGATGTCGACGTATCCAAGAACGTATGATTTTATCCATGCTGACTCGGTTTTCACATTGTACCAAGGTAAATGTAAACCGGAGGAGATATTGTTGGAGATGGACCGGATTCTTAGACCGGGTGGTGGAGTGATTATAAGAGATGACGTGGACGTTTTGATCAAGGTTAAGGAATTAACCAAAGGATTGGAATGGGAAGGTAGAATTGCTGACCACGAGAAGGGTCCTCATGAAAGAGAGAAGATTTACTATGCGGTGAAACAATATTGGACCGTTCCTGCTCCTTATGAAGATAAAAACAATACTAGTGCTCTCTCCTGATTTTGCGTTTTCTTATTCTTTTTTTTTTCTTACAATGTTATGCTTTTTGTTTTGATTTTTGATTTTTTTACAACAATAAATTCTCATGATTGTTGTCACTATTTTTATCATATGAAATAAACAAAAATAAAACTCACTAGATCTATTAGTATACCTAATCGTATCATTATAAGACTTATTCAATACGTATACATACTTTTTAGACGGCTAAGAGCGTATCTCGTTCATCTACTATCTCGACGAAGGTAAGAAACTGCTTCACATACTCACATGTTGAAGCTTAATTAGCTAAACTAAAAAAATTGTTTGTTCAACAGATATGTGAATGCATGATTGCACATGGTGCTGCTCACTTTTTGAAAGGGAGGCTGTTTGATCAGGGTGATGCGTATACGGTACATGTGTGTGAAGTCTGTGGGCTCATCACCATTGCAAATATGAAGAAGAATTCTTTTGAATGCAGAGGTGGCAAGAACAGAATAGATATAAATATTGTCAGGTAAGTTTCCAAAGCATAAAACTGTTGTTCAAGTGGTTCATCTTCATCTTTAGCTCTTTCATGCTCGTTTTTCTGATGGCATATAATTTAAAACCTTCTCGGGTATACATTCCATATGCTTGCAAATTGCTCTTTCAAGAGCTTATCTTATGGCAATGGCAATTGCACCACGGATGCTTACTAAACACCTGAAATCGGCTAAAGGCAGACAGCGAGGAGCTTTGCACTCTGATTTTGTAGAAAATTGAACTTCCTTCTCTTTTGTTCGCATCTTTGTTACAAAACTAAATTTACAAATTTGTGTAATGTCTCTGTACTTCTTCTGAAAGCTAGTACATTCTATGATATATTTTCAAATCAATTCTTTAGTAAAAGTTCTGTCTCCTATAACTAGTAATTTATTCTCATGTGGCAACAACAAAATTTAACCTATGATAGTTTGGTGGAATAGAAGATTTACACGGTATAAATTTGGTGGTGAATCTGAGGAGTAAGGTGAGGGAATAATGAATTTAATTTATACATTTACACAAATTTACAACAAAATCTAACCTATGCTAATATAATTTTTTTTTGTTGAAAAATCATATAATTAATAACACATATATACATATATATATATATATAATACAATATATTTTTGACGCCATTAGTTACAAATGATACTTGTTAGTTGTTATGCTTGTTTGACACCATTACCTGAAGTTGATGACACGATCTACGAGTGTGGTTTAACTGGTAAGTTTAAACCGAACTTAAACTAAACCGGAATTTTCTTGTGAAAGAAAGACCTTAGAAAAGTAATTATTGCGTGTAAGTCGTTGAAAATTTAATTTTGTGTGTATCCTATTTATTTATTTTCTTTTAATTAGTGGGCCAATACCGAACCATCGAAACAACTTTATGGGCTAGAAGAAAACAAAAATTGTGGGCATGTTATAGTAACTTAACTACAGAATTTTCACATGAGGTAAATATCATATTCAGGTCCACAAGCAGGTCTTTGAACAATGATGATTTTGTTTCCATAATGTTGTTAATTACATCGTAATGTTATAGCTAAAAGAAAAATTTATAATTTGTTTCAATCACGTGGATCAATTAAATATTAAATCGATTACTTTCTCAAAGTTTTTGGTAAAAAAAATCAAATTAAAATTTAATATTTCAGTTTAGCCAAAACCTTTATGTTTTTAGTAAATTTTACGTAGAGTTTTAGTAAATTAAGATGTAGGTTTGGAGCAGATCAGCCGAAGTTGAGATAGTGATCACAAAATATAAATAAACAAATGAGTTAAACAATAGAACTATATCAGATTTGTGTGAGGTACATTAGTATTCATAACAAATATATAATTGTGACTTTATAAAAAAGATGTTAGGATTTGCAGAAAGTGAAATATTCAAATTGCAAATTAGAAGTTCACATCTTTGTGAAGAGAGAATGATGACGACCTAAAAAGCCTTTCTAAGATTACCATTTGAAAAAATATAAACACATTCCGAATTTTTCATGTCTTATGCATCATGATTAATACGCATGATTGGAAAATTTACCATAAAGTAAAAGAGCGATGATATTACATTAAAAGCTCAATCAAATAGGCTTTTTTAAAGGTTAGAACAATTCTGGTACAAACATATGTGTCATCCATAAAACATATTTAGAAAACTATTGGACAAGATACAAGCATCCAAAGATTTAAAAGCAGAACAGAACAAGTGATAAGCTCATGCTTAAGAAACAAAGTCAAAGTTTATCAGTGGTGTTGGTTTGATAAAACAGTATAACTCTGTTCCTAACTCTTTCTAATTATTAGCTTTTTTTTTTGGGCAAATCTAATTATTAGCTAACATTTAAACTTTCTCATGTAAACCATAATACAAAACAAAATAAAAAATAAAAATTCAAGTGAGTACTACTATAGACTTTCTTTTTTTTTTTTTTTTTTCCGGTGTATTTGGTTAACTCACAGCTTGGAAGAGGCCAAGGCGAAAATCTATGTTTGCAGCACAACCACTGACCATGGCTTTCAGGCAGTCATGACTGAAGAAGAATCAGAAATTGCTCTTTGATCGATTTTAAACCTCTCTCTATGTAGGGGCCATCAACGGGTGGAACTTTGGTAGGTCGCCTGGGTTTGCGTTTCCGCTGGGGTATCACGTATGCCCTTAAGAAAGTTCGCTTCAGTTCTCGCTTGTTGGTATTGAGCCATTGCCTTGTGACAGGGAGTGCATTGGAGTAGTATCTTGAGCCAAAATGAAATGGGAGACCGCCAAATGTTTTTCCATGAAGCTACAAGAGAGCCATCATCAGTTAGATTTCAAAACATGAAGCAAACGCTCTAGAAAGGATTGGCACATTCAAAAATCCAGAAATTTTGGAGCAATCGACACTAACTATTTTGCCATGTTTTCCTCTGTTTCTTAAATATATCAAATAAAATACTAATAAGCCCATAATGAAATGAAAACAAGAAGCCCAATACACAAATGTTTAGATGAAAAAACCAATTCAGGATCTTAAGTCATAACAATGTAAAATCGATTAAAAAAAAACGAAATTGTGTACCTGTGTGTGGTTATGTAGTAGGAGACCCACATGCTTGTTCACCTAAAGATAACAGATCATTTCACCATCAATAAACGAGCACCGATGGAAGTTTTTTTGAAACCAAAACAAAAATCAAATCTTTTTATAAATCCCTCCTTTAAAACGAAAAAAGTAGAAAGATGGAAATTTTTTGAGACCAAAACAAAGAAAAATCGAAGAGTCAAGTAACTAACCTTGTCAGCAAGAGTGATGTTTTTCTTCGCTGCTTGTCCAAAGATCCTAGCTAGATTGAGCATCAGCTACAATGAAGAACCTTTTTGTTTAAACACAAAAAAAAAAATACAACCTTGAACAACAAAGAAAAATCAAATGAGACAGGCCAGAAGGCCCATTAAACTAGATCCGAAATTAAACCGATGAATGTGTACTATTAAAACAGTCGAGGTAACAGAAAAGGAAAACAGTAAAAAAAAAAAAAAAGTAATAATTTGCCTCGTTTAAATTTGAACTAAATTTCCGATCTTCCAAAACTGATAAAATTTGACACAAAAATCAATCCCGTAATAATTTAATACTAGATTTGAACCCGCGGTACACCGCAGGACTATAATTTTTTTTAAAAAATCTAAATATAATTAGTTTTGTTTATTAATAGAGAGTATAATAAAATATTTCGACCTATTTTATAAATGTACCATCCATATATCTATATTAATAATTTTGAGTATATTAATTGTGTTTTAGGTTTAAATGGTATATCTATATATACACTTAAACGACATTTGGCTTTCTTCTTCTTCTTGCCTTAGTTTAGGAGAAAGATTTTTCTTGCGGTACACCGCGGAGCTATTATTTTTTTTTTAAAAAATTTCTCCTTAAACTTCCAAATCTAGATTTTACCCCGCGGTACACCGCGGGTCAATTTTTTTATAACTAAAAAATTATTTTGCAAAATTTTAAGTTGTATTTGTTTTGTTAATATTGTTTATTTTGTTTAGTGTTTCTGATTTTATAATTAAATTTTGATTTTAAATTCTAGGATTTCATCCATAGTATATTGTTTAATATTAATATTGATCTAAACCCGTTGCACCATATAACCCCGTCCCATAAAATTAAACATCATTTGTTATTTTTTTGAATAATATTTTTATCCACTACGGGGGTCAGGTTCATGCGGATAAGCCCGTAGAGAGTTGCGGGTTTGCGGATCGATCCGCCAAAAGAGAAGCTATCTTTTGAAACCCTTTGTTTTGTTTAGAGGTTTTAAGAAAATATCTAGGCCTGGGCATTCGGGTTTGGTTCTTTTTTTTTGGGTATCGGGTCTATTCGGGTAGGGGTCAAGACCCATTCGGGTATTCTAAAAATTCGGTTCGGGTTCGGGTCGGTTCGGGTATTTTAATAAAAAAGCAAAATACCCGAAAATAACCAAAAATACCCGGAATATTTTCGGGTTCGGGTCGGGTTTGGGTTTTTAACTCATATATACCCAAATCTAACCGAAATACCCGATTTCTCGAAAATACATTGGTTACTCTTTATCCAAATATAACCAAAAATATCTAAAATACCTAATATATTCTGTTTTATGATTGTAATTTTAGGTATTTTGGGTATTATAAAAATAAAAATAACTAATATTTTTAGGTGTATATTTGTATTCGGGTACATTCGGGTACATTCGGGTATTGGATTCGGTTCGGGTTCGGTTCGGGTAGGAGGTTAGGACCCATTCGGGTATTTTTAAAAATCGGGTTCGGGTTCGGTTCGGGTATTCGGTTCCGGGTATTTTGCCCAGGCCTAAAAATATCCCTAAAAAATAATTTTCATTATATGAAAAAAAGAAGTAGAAGAAATTGTAGTATCAACATTCCCGATTTTTACATCACTCTTTTTTTTTTTGTCATCTGGATTTATTATTTATTGCAAATTCTGAGAACTGTTACAATTAATTTTTTTTTTGCAGATAAAAATCAGAAGTTAACTAAGTCGAGATTTTTAAAAAGATTGTGTAGAGATTTTTTGTAAATTGTTGAGAACATATTTGATTTCAGAATCTTTACTTAAATAGATAAGGAAAGATTTTGTAGAGACTTTTGCTAAATATATGAGAAATAAATTTCAATTAAAAATCTTTACTTAAATAAAACAAATCTAAATAATTAATGCTCAACTTCAGGATTTATTTGCTAATTGTGATCCAAAAATGTATATATAGAAGCTTCGATTAGACGTTAATGGAGCTCACACACGACCTCTGTCGTTTTCACTATCCCATTCCCATGTAAAGAACCTCCGTCCTCCGGTTCAATTTTCCAGTGAAATTCAACAACCACGACCCTGTCAAATTTATTCGTCAAGATCCAATCCCTAATTTTGAATCGTGTTTGCTCCGTCACCGTAATAATGTATCCACCGCCGATTCATGTCTCCTCCTCTTCTTCTTCTCCGGCGACGGATGTCTCGTCGCCACTTCTCAATCGAAACCGGCGTGCTCTCTCCCGTTCTTCGCAACCGCTACGTGGCGCGGCGTCTCGGCTTCTTCGCCGAGCTAGCAGTCGCCGGATGATGCTCCGTGAGTCATCGGTTCGAGTCCGTGAGAACGCGGCTGAGCAGATTGAGGAGCGACAAAGTGAGTGGGCGTATTCGAAACCGGTTATAGTCTTAGATGTGCTCTGGAATCTAGCTTTTGTATTCGTCACAATTGCTATTCTAGGGTTTAGTTCTGATGAGAATCCTCATGTTCCTCTTAGATTCTGGATTATTGGGTATAATTTACAGTGTTTGTTCCATGTTGGATGTGTAATTGCTGAGTATCGTCGTCGTCATCGACGACAAAGTGATGATTTTCCAAACGAAGATTCTGTTTTGGGTTCAAGTTCCAGTCACGGATCTAGTGAAGATGAATCTGATGATTACGCCATTGTAGATGATTCTCAGATTGAACCTGGAACTAGGTAAAGCTTTATTCTTGCTTGATCCTTTTTTTATTCTCACAAGAACTGTTCTTTCATTGATGATTCAATTAATGTTCATTGTAGTCTTGCTAAGCACCTTGAATCAGCAAATGCAATCTTCTCGTTTGTTTGGTGGATCATTGGGTTTTATTGGGTCACTGCTGATTCTGAGGAACTCTCTCAAAGTTCGCCTCAACTCTACTGGTTTGTTTTCGAAAACTTTCTTATGTGTTGTTAGATGGATTCTTGTTTCATTTACTTTGTGTTACTGGTCTGCAGGCTCTGTGTTGCGTTTCTCGCCTTTGATGTTATCTTTGTCGTCCTTTGTGTTGCTGTCGCTTGTCTTATTGGTATCGCTGTTTGCTGCTGTTTGCCTTGCATCATTGCGGTTTTGTACGCTTTGGCAGATCGGGTAAGTCAAGACAAATATCCGTTTATTCAAGACCGGTGTTCAAGATAGATTGTGTTTACAGGGCTTTTTATTGATGTTTCAGGGAGGCGCATCGGATGAGGAGATAGAAAGGCTCCCGAAATTCAAATTTCTGACGGTAAGAAACTCAGAGAAAGTGAATGGTGAGATACGAGAAACTCATGGAGGGATAATGACTCAACTTGGTGTTGATTCTCCAACCGAGCGTGTGCTATCAAGCGATGAAGCTGTAAGTTAAACCCATCCCTGTCTGAAATCTAATCAATTATTCAAAGCTGGAGATGATCATTGGTACAAACAAATGAATCTTTCTCTCTTTCAGGAATGTTGCATTTGTCTCTGTGATTATGAAGATGGAACAGAGCTGAGAGAAATGTCATGTAGACACCACTTCCATGAAGCTTGCATAGACAAATGGCTACGTATTAACGCCACTTGCCCTCTCTGCAAATTCAACATTCTCAAAACCGGTGAACGAAGTGGCAACGATGCAGTATGATTATCGGTGATCTTTTGACTCTCTCTCTCTCCATTGTTAAAGTTTTAGCTTTAATATCGGTGTGGGAAACTTGAGACAACCGGATGGGGCTTGAGTTCTTTCTCTACTATTTTGTTGTATAAATGCTGTAAGTAGTTATATTACACTACTGTTATTACATGTTGAGGTTATTTTTCTGTAATAGTTTGAGGCTTTTTTTTTTTCCTTTTTCTTTTTTCAATAATAGTTTGAGGCTTTGCCGTGTGGTTTTGAGTCTTTGCAGGCTTTGCCGTGTGGTTTTGAGTCTTTGCACATTGTGAATGTAGACGCCCACATATGATTGAAGCAACGTTTTTATCACTTTACAAAACAGAATAAAGAATGCAACTTCTTAATTGATTAAAAAAATTATTGATAGTTTATTACAATTAGTTGTTTGGTTTGGTCATATAATACCAAGATATATAATTCACTTGAATTAAGTCTTGGTTTAAAAAAAAAGTAGGATAAAATTTTTTTGTTGTCGGATTAATTGGTAATTTGGTCATATAATAAAAACATTTGGTAAATAAAATTTGATTGTTTATTATTAGGATACTAAATTACGATGGTTTTTCAAGCACTATTTATCCACTTCTGGTACATTTTCATAATTCATTATTACATAAATATATCTTCTAGTTTCGAAAATAAACAAGACCAGAAAATGAGAAAAAGAAAGCTCAGATGCGCACCTATATCGTCTGTATATCAGACGTTTGTGATGAACCCAAATCCATCAATATGCGCAGTTTTCCTCATAACTTCGCGCCACCGGTGTCGATCCCAGCTTTCACCAAGATTACAGAAACACGGTCACCACCAGACGCCTAATTGTTTTTGTTTAAAGCTGAGAACAAAAATATATATAGTTAAAATATTGTAGTGGGAATGAGAGATTTTATATCTAATAATCTAATCTTATTTATTTCACAAAAAACAAAAAAATCTGATTGTTTCTATGTTGATTTAAATAACAAAATCGGAGTCGCAAGAAATAAACGATTGTTGAAGCTTTTAAGCATGAGTTAATTCATCAGAAGAACACTTCAAAGTGAAAGATGGATTTTATTTAATTATTCTTTTCATAGTACGTAAGTTTATCAGATTTCATGATAAATCAAACGTTTTGTTTTTTGGAAAAAAAGGCAAAAAAAATATCAAGATAAATCTGTGCATGCATATATATACGAGAAAAAAAGAAAACAAAAATAAAATTAAGACGGCCGTTGATACGCACACCAAACAGGAACTCCGGTGACAACACGACCGCCGCCATAACCAGCAGTCGAAGCCATTGATGAAGATGTCCTCGGTCTCCACATTTGATTATTCGACGCCGTGGTAGCTTGCCAAGAACACGCAGCATAATCCACCGGAGCCACAGCAAACGACGACGATTTATCATTACCGTCAGGTTTCACCATGATAGACACATTGACGATTCCACATTTGTCACCGTACTCATCTCTCAACCTGTAACTCAAGAAATTCAAATGCCCTTGTGGAGCAAAACCTCCGATGAAATCCGTCACCGGAATCTTGGCGTAACCAACATTTTTGTCACTCCCGCTACTTGTGCGATAATAAACCTCAATGGAGATAAACCTTACACTTGCGTTTATTGGCATCTCCATATCGAATTTATCTTTCCAAATTGGGTAACTCCCTCCTAATTCGTCCAATTTGGAAGCCCAAGATTTCTCATCGATTCTCACTACGCTGTATGTTTTCTTCTTCAATGGTTTTCGATCTACCTTGAGTCCTTCCGCTGAGATTACCTCAATCTCCAGTGATCGTTTCACTGTTGAATACGACATGGTGTGTTTGTATGTTTCTGTGAGTATGTATAAGTCTAATCCTCTTTGCAGGAGATTCCTTATTGTTTTGTGTCGTGAGCTTTGTTGGACAAGATGAGTTTGTACTTTATAGCTTAGCTAAATTGACCGACGAACACCCTCCCTTTTTTCGTAGTTGTTTCCACTCACTTTCTATCTTTTTATGTTCTATCTTTTTTTCTGGGAAAGTGTCAAAAAAAAAAATTATTTTCTGACATTTTTTTTGGTTTAAATGTTATTTTTCTCACACTAGACCGTTGTACAATTTTAAATTAATTTATCCTATAATGGGTATATATTCTTTTCTTTTCCTCGTAACAGGCCGATCGAGTATATATTTTTATTCTGAATTTGATTTATACAGAAAATATTGTTACAATATTGTTCCATGCTTTTCTCAGGGGATGATGGAATAAATTAGATATGTTTTTAAAATAGATAGGAATAATGCGTGGTCGATCGGATGGTTCCTGGATGCTTTGGCCGGTGGCATGATCAACGGTGGCGTGCCGCGTGACTACATAGATGCCTGTTATTAATTTGCTTTGATGACGACATCACTACATAATTTACTTAATTTCCATTACGTCAGAAATATTAATGGTTTATTCAGTAGCATTAATTTTCCAAAGAATAGACACGTCTCCACTACAAAAGACCTCTACAAATTCGAATTTGTTTTGTTCAAATACTTTGGTTTTCCAAAATAGGATAGGAAAAATAAAGCCTCAGGCCGTAGAAATTTCACGGATGTCTTTTTTTTTTTGGTCATCAAATTAGTTTTGTCAACAAGTGCAATTTAGAAACTTTTTCTTCTTGTATATTATAATAGGCATTCACGAAATCAGAAACTTAGTTAGAAGAAAATTATGAAACTAGTAACTTAATCTTTTGGGGAAGAGTCAATGGAGTCGCTGATACGGCACGTGTCGTACACAAGCGAATAAATTGACTTGTTTCTTATTCCTGTTTTTTAAGGAAACTGGGGCGAGAATTCGAACGAAGTTTCAGGTATTTCTTGGTTCATTCTGGCCAAACGACGTCGGGACGCGTTTTTTTGTTTGTTTTGTTTTAAGCACCAATAAAATAATCGACTAATTTCAATGGCCGGTTAATAATTTCAATAACAATTTCATCACAGAATTTAACAGACTATATAGAAACTAATCTCGTAAATATTCTTCACTTTCGAGACTAATGTAACTAAGTGCTCTTATAATATAATGATTGAAACGTTTAGAGAGCAATTAAACCCTCTCGTTGACACGAAAAGCTGCAATGTCTGTTGGCTTTGCACGAAGAACAACTTACCGTCCGAGAACACACTAGAGCCGCTTTCTCACATTTGCGTATATATAAATGATCGATCATTTCTTTTGACGTAGCAGCTGTTAATATATTAATACAAATTGGCATTGGCATTGTAGTCGTAGTTACGTGATTGTAGGTAATATCTGGGAAAGGTAAAAACTAAAAACAGGTCTTGAAAATCTTGGCCAACAAACACATGCATGCCTGCCTATACATTGTACGTAATACCTATGTCAGCATCGTGTCGTGAGCTAAATTAATTAGCTGTGGAAATAATCATATATGTAACAAAAGTTTTAAACTGCCACGATGTTATCGTCCACTCTTTAATGTATTTTTTGCGAGATATGAATATTATCATATGACCCAAGATGACCGTTTGGGACTAGCTTGCAGTGATGAATAAAATCATTACAGACTGTTTCTGGAAATTTGTTGTTTTTTGCCTCGTTATTGCACGGCACATGGATTAGGCACGCATATCAACTATATCGTACTTTTTCTACATTGTTGTCGTGTTGACTTGATAAAAGTATATATATATATATAGTCAATCTAGGTCAATATCTACTAGTTATTTCTTATACCATTTTTGGTGGATAGCGGGAATGAAACAGCTAATTGTAACTTACAAGGTATGGTTTACGAATATTAATTGTAAGTGTGGTTTTTGAAAATGCCAATTCAAATTCAAATAACCGCACCATGTAGGAGTTACATACTAGTCGATTTATATATTATCATTAAAGATAAAGTTAAAAATCTATAAATTTTGACCGAATAATATAAAAATACGCATAGTCACCAAATATTTTTCGCTGCTTAATAATAAGAAGATAGAATTTAAAAATGGCGACCAAAAGCAAAAATAATAAGAAAATATATATAAGCAAATAGTTAATATTCAATCAGATTCGAAATATATAATCTGCCATTTTTTCTGCTAAGCATAATCTGCCATTTTTTCTTTTGTAATCAGAGAGAGACTGTCAAACCAAAATCTAAACTAATTTACAAGATATGTGTAAATTGTAAAGTCATGTCTATACCACTGAATTAGAGATCAATTGATGGAAAAACTCAATCCACATTGTCAATTATGTGGAAAAAAGATTGTGTTTTATTTATAATTTCTTTCTGGAACACATATATATGTACGATATAGCTGTGATAGTACATGCATATTTAATTTCAAGTACTCGCGAAAGAAAACAGAGCAGCAAATAGTCTTTGCAACATTTTCCACATATGATCTAATCCTTCATGACATCGTTTTGCTTATGTCACATTTATGACGTTTGTATGTATATATGTGTTCGGCTGTTGCCTGTTGGTGTAACAAATAAACGACAAGTAACGCCAAACATAAGAGAAAAAAGTTAAGTTAAACCTAAAGACTGCTTATTTTATCGTAACTTCTCACTTTTGGTCGTCCTCGGCAACACAGAATTTTTTTTTTTTTTTTCGAAAAAAGTCCTCAGCAACAAATTTGGAGTATATATAATTCAAAGTAGGCGAACTCCTATAAATTGTTTGCAAAAAAAAAAAGCAACAACAAAGTATAAATTGTCAAAAGTAGTATTCTCCCCAAGTTTCCACAACTGCACTTTGAGTTAAATTGGATCACGTGTGAAGAAGTTGTTGGACTTTGTTTACATGCTTTGCATCGATCGAGTCTTAAATTAAAGTGGTTCTATGGACATTTGATAAAATAAACGGGAAATAGAGGCAAAAGAAAAAGAAATCAAAGATAGGATCGTGGTGTACTCGATCGTCTAAGTATTAATCTTATGATTTCGTTCTCTTATATCATGTTTGCTCAAGTTGACATACCATTCAACATGGTATAGCTAATTAACAAGTTTTGGATGTGCTTCCTATCAAGGTTTCGGTGTAAGCTTAATAGGGGTTAAAATTTCAATCTCTTTGAAAATCGGTTTAAGTAAGATACATTTTAGTAGTAGTAGACTGTACAAAACACATATTTGAAAGAGAAATTAGTATAAACAGATGATAACTATTTTCTGTCACAAGATGTTTATTATTAATCAAGATTTTCCGGCTTGTGAACTTTTGTTTTGTAAGATCAAGTTCAAACACTAAAAAATTTCTTTGTGTAAGATAACGATTTCCTTAAGTTCCATCATTTTTCGAAAAATCACAAAATGGGCTAATTAAATCAAATCAGTCGGTCAGTCAGTACCAAAATACATTATTGGGAAACAAATAAAACGTAAAACGCAGCGTTTTGAAAAGCATTATATCCACTAACTTAACTAACACAGTTTTCTCTGCGAGGCAGCAGCCATGGCAACTTCTTCTGCTCACCTCTCGTTTCTCGCCGGACGTATATCTCCGTTCTCCTCCGAACGGATCGGGTTATTCCCACTTAGAGGTGAATTTCGTCCACCAATGACCCGGTTCCGGTGCTCGGCCGGACCGAGCGGATTCTTCACGCGTCTCGGTCGGTTGATTAAAGAGAAGGCCAAAAGCGACGTGGAGAAGGTTTTCTCCGGATTCTCTAAGACTAGGGAAAATCTAGCAGTCATCGACGAGCTCTTGCTCTTCTGGAATCTGTCTGAAACAGACCGAGTTCTCGATGAATTGGAAGAGGTTTTTTCAACTCTCTTAATTCGAATTAATTGTCGATTCTCTTGGTTTCAGATGCAAATGGAGTCTTCCTGAAATCTAATTGTGAAAACTTTCAATTGCAGGCGCTTTTGGTTTCTGATTTTGGACCCAAGATTACTGTTAGAATTGTTGAGAGGCTAAGAGAGGATATCATGTCAGGGAAACTCAAATCAGGAAGCGAGATTAAGGTACATCAGTACATGTAAGGAATTAGGCTCCATACTTTATAGATACTTGATCCGAAATGTGAATGGTGTAGGATGCATTGAAGGGAAGTGTGTTGGAGATGCTCGCTAAGAAAAACACCAAGACAGAGCTTCAATTGGGTTTTAGGTTCTCTTCTTTTTGCTCTGTTACTTGTTATTCTGTTGAATTGTAGTTATGAAAGATTGTGGTTTTAATTCTGGTTATGTGTTATGGTGTATCAGGAAACCAGCTGTGATAATGATTGTTGGAGTCAACGGAGGTGGGAAGACGACATCTCTTGGTAAGGCAATAGGCATTAATTGTTCAGAGTGGCAACTCAAAAGACTAGCTTGGTTTGCATTGGGTTAGCCGCAGAAAGATCTTATGTGTAAGAGTTGGCTTTTGTTTTTCAGGAAAGTTGGCTCATAGATTGAAGAATGAAGGAACTAAGGTACACCTTTCGTGTTTGATATCAATGTCGACCCTTTTTGTTGTTCTCTTGAGATTTGGAAGGGATATTAGAGAACGTAATAGGTGATGCGAAATTTTGCCAGGATAGGTAGAAATAGAATTGAGTATCAGTATGTTCATCAGCAATCCTGCGATGATTTGTCATAGGTATTAATGGCAGCAGGTGATACATTTAGAGCAGCAGCAAGTGACCAGTTAGAGATATGGGCAGAGAGGACTGGGTGTGAGATTGTTGTGGCCGAAGGAGAGAAGGCTAAAGCAGCAACAGGTAAAACCAATGCGTTCTTATTTTGGCTTGCCAGTATCAGTGTTGGGTGCAACTTGAGCTCGCTATCTAAACATTTTCTTTCTGTTTCTGAATAGTTCTCTCAAAGGCTGTTAAAAGGGGGAAGGAGGAAGGCTATGATGTTGTACTTTGTGACACATCTGGACGTAAGCATACAAGAGTTTGCTAGCTGACTTAAGAACATGCTTATGTACTGTTTGTACTGATCTGAGGAACATACACCTCTTTATGTAAGGTCTCCATACTAATTACAGTTTGATGGAGGAGTTGATTGCGTGCAAAAAAGCAGTGGGCAAGATTGTCTCTGGTGCACCTAATGTGAGTGAGCCTTTTTACTTATCCCATTGTGTTATCTTGCTTGTGTTATTACATTCTGGCCATCTCCAATTTTGATCATGCGCTAGCTAAAAATAATATTCACGGAATTGTTAGGAGATCCTACTTGTCCTTGATGGAAACACTGGTTTGAACATGCTTCCGCAAGCTAGAGAATTCAACGAGGTACCATACGAAACCACCTAAACCTAGTGTTTCTGGCTCCCAAAACTAGAAATTCTTTGTAAAATCTTGAGATTTCTGGGTCACATTTTTATCAGGTTGTTGGTATTACCGGTTTGATATTGACGAAACTAGATGGCTCTGCTAGAGGAGGTTGTGTGGTAAATACCCCCATAAAGTTTTGGTCTCATTTCTCACCTAAAGCTCTTATTTTCCATTAGCTCTGTCTTTGAAACTGGTTCTCCATGTCTTGCAGGTCAGTGTGGTTGAGGAATTGGGCATTCCCGTAAAGTTTATCGGAGTAGGAGAAGCTGTAGAAGATCTCCAACCTTTTGATCCGGAGGCTTTTGTGAATGCTATATTCTCCTAAACCATAAAACCTCGTCTTTTTGAAAAAGCTATCATCTTCAACAGGCCAGAGCCAAGTGGAAACATTCCCAGTGTTTTCGCCGGAGATGCAGATGGAAGCATTCCTTAGAGTTTCTTGGAGATCTTAGGTCGTCAAGCTTTCTGCAAGGGATGCAAGATTTGATTTTTAATGATGTGACAAAGCTCGTTGGCACAGTGAGAGTGATGACTTACACAAGAATGTAACGAGTCAGAGAAACTGCTTCTATCTCACAACTATTTTGTATATTGTTAATGTTGTATTGATTTTGAAGGAATCAGCAAAGATTAATAAGAGAACATTGTGGGAGCAGGAGCAAAAATTGAATGGCACATGAACGAAACAATGGCTAGAAAGCCACTTTCCCCGAATAAAAAAGCTAGAATGCCACTTTCTTGTTTGTAATTTCTTTTAATATTTTTTTTAAATCAAAAGTGATGGAAATGTCCAAAAAACTTTTAAGAAAATTAGTAATTACAGATCCAACCAAGACAATCCGACCCAAATTCAATAATCCACGACTTGCAAGAAAGATCCAAGAATATACGTAGACCTTTAAGTTGAAGAAAATTGAAAAATACAGATCCACCGAAACTGATGTTTTGGTAGCTTACGCTGTAGAAAACGAAATCGAATCTGTGATGATGAAGATGAAGCAGACAGTTTCATCGAACTCAGAAGCACAGAGTTACAACGAATCACCACACTCTCCTCTTCGATTTCTTCTCCGTTATCAGATGCTAGAGATTTACCGGAGAGCCATTACGTTTCTCCTGAGAAATCTCCGTTCAAAATCGAGAATCCCAAGTCAACGATCGTACGATGGTAACAAGTTCACGCATTTTTTGCTCTTTATTCTCTGATCTCGCCGCCTCCTCCTCAGTTTCCGCCGCCGCGACATCAGAGGACTGCGCGAATTCCGATGAATTCGTCTTAGGATAAAGTCTCTGTCGTCCTTTGTAGTGCACAATGTGGTCTTTGACATATGGATCAAGGTGCGTTATACGCGTTTAATTTCTGAACCATTTATGGAACTAAGTGAAGCTCGTTTGATGTTCACTCATTGCATATTTGTTGCAGGGAGATAGTTGTCTTATAATTACTTATGGTGATCAAACTATAAGTTGTACTCAAAGATTTTTGATTTACTTGTTTGTGAGGACATAATGGTGACACTGACATTCTTATACGCTGGAATACAAATTAAAGTGTGAGATGTAGATGAGAATAAGTCTACTGGAGTTCTTATAGGACATGCAGGAATTGTAAAATCAATGTGTTCACATTCAATGGATTCTGGTTCATGTCGAGCATACATATGTTCCTTTTTAACTTATTTGTGTTTTTAGTCAAGAGGGCTCTAACTTTTGTTGCTTACAAATCTTCTTGTATCTGGTTCAAGATGGATGTTTTGCGTTGTTGGATTTAATATGTAAAAGTAGCTCTCACAAAGAGGAATTTTGTATCAAGTAAGTCTTTAAACTTGATTGTGATGATCTTTTTTTTTGTCTTTTCACTTCTTTATAACCATCTTGATAGTTGTTTTGGTCTTCACTCAGCTCTATTGGGATGGTTAAAGGATCTCATCAATCTCCTCTTTCAAAACGAATCAGACGTCGCAAGGTTTTACCTCCTTCTTAGTCCTAACTCTTCAATTCTAGTATTATATCCTATCTTATCTGCTAATGGTTCGTGTTTCCAAGCTGCTTCATCAAGCATTACCTTTATTTGAAGGATGAGATCATAATTGCCACTGCTGGAGCACCAGATAAGCCTTTGTGCTTTACTCTGACATTGCTTTGATCTATAGGATAAAATGAAAAAGTTTTGATTTCTTGACTTCCAAAGTAAAATGAACAAGTTTTGAGTTTTCAAGAAACCAGATTGGTGATTATTTTTGTATTTTGTCCTTGTTTATTTGTATAGGCACTTCCATATATTCGTTGTATTGGGGAATCTTAGCCAATAACGAAAGAAAGAGCTTACTTTGAAGCAACAACTTTGAGAAAGCATGGAAATTTATCTACTTTGGAGCTATAATGAGCAGAAGATTAAATAGTTGCAGCAGAGACTGAAAGATTGCGGATTTGTTTGATTGTAAACAATAGAATCATATGGTGAAAGTGAAGTTTTATGTACAACTAGATCACTTAGGTCCAACTGGGACAATTTTGGTATAACTTGAACTATTTGGTGCAACTGCACTATTTGATTGTTTAGATAGTTTTTTTGTTTTTGGTGCAAATGACCTTTTGTTTGTGTATGGTAAAGTGGATCTTTTGTTTATGTTAGTCGTTGGTTTGCTTTTGGAGTCAATCATGTCCGACTCTCATGGAGTCTAGATAGTGGAGTTGTGGAATTGAGTCAGTTATTGTAGTGGAGTCTGTTCCTATTTTTAAGCTTGTGTCTGTTGTTTCATTTGAGTCCTTGTAAGGCTATTTAAAGCCATCTTTTTTAGGTATGGTAAAGTGGATTTTTTTTATGTACTATGGTGGTATTTTGGTATATTTAGGTACAACTACGTATAGGTACAACTGGTATATTTAGGTACAACTACGTATAGGTACAACTGGTATATTTAGGTACAAGTACAAGGTCCTTTCGAGTTTTTTTAAAAATAACAAATTAGTTAAAATTGATATTAAAATGAATTTAAATATGACTGACGTGAAAAAAAAATAAAAATAGACCTTTGGCGGCGGGATATTAATTTGAAAATTATCTGTATTTTGTTGTGTTGTGGATTAAGAACATATGACTTCATGTTATTGTAAACCAAAAAAATATTTAGATTATATTTATGTTCAATTAGTTTTGTAGGTACAACTGGTCTATTTAGGTACAACTACGTGTATGAGTTACTTATAAAAAAGTACAACTAGATCATTTAGGTACAACTGAGACAATTAAAAATAACCTTTTAAAAAATAAAAAGTTAATTAAAATTGGTATTAAATAAATTTAAACGAAGTAAAAAAAAAAAAATTAAAGATGACGTAAGCATGTTTTTTGGCGGCGGAATATTAATTTTAAATCATCACGTGTGGTAAGGTGAGCCAAAGACAGCATGATATTAATAAAAAATTGTTTTGTTTTAAACATAGTTGTACCTAGTTGTCCAGTTGTACTGTCATATTCATAGTTGAACTTTTGCGATTTTTGTGTATTTCCAGTTGGACTTAAATGAAAATTAGTAATTTCTAGTTGGACACATGATGTTACACTATTAATTATCGTTTAAGAGGTTTTCAGAATACAATGTTCAGAAAAACTTGGATTTCACCTCTTTTGCTTCATATGAGATGATCACTTACTAAATCTTCCTTATATTAGAAGAAGTGTGTTATGTGAAAATGAAAAAAATAGTTACGAAATTGATAAATTCTGGTTGTATTGATTTCAAATAGTCTATTTTTATATTTGAAGATGTTTTTGGAGAATTTTTCATATAAATCTTAATTTACAATTTATTATAATTTAATAAAAATCATAATACAATAAACGTAGTTGAACTAGTTGAACCAAGAGTATATATTAAGAAAATAATAAATTAGATTTTTATTTATTTAAAATTATTTTTTTAGAGTTCAGGATGTTTTTGGAATCGATATTAGCTCTAATTTATCGTTTTTATATTTGGTGTATAGAAATACATATACATTTATGGTCTTAGTTGTACTCAGTCGAACCTAGTTGTACAAATACGACGAATTCAAATACAGATATGTTCTTAGTTGTATCCAGTCGAACCTAGTTTTATAAATTTGACAAATACTAATACATGTTTTATTTTCCAAATCGTTGAATAACTTTGCATGTAAAACATATAGATCTGTAAGTAAAAATGGTTATCAATAATATCATATATTTACTTCGAAATTAATATAACCAAAGTACAACGTTGTTAGCAACTAGAGCATCTACTTTAGTCGGAGTGCTGCCTTTCTTTGATCTTTTTTTCTTCTTAGGCTTCTCAGATTTAGCCTCCTCATCACCATCTTTTTCCTTGGTTCCCATCTCAGTTTCTACACAAAATTCAGCAATTACGAATCAATAGATACGTCCCGTACATTACAGATGAGAAAAACAAGAATCTGAAATAATTACCATTTTCAATTGTTTCACAAAGCATTAACAAGATCTATGATGCCTTCGTTCTCAGCATCATCAGTAGTTTGGTTTAATTCAGTTAGATGATTATTTACAACAATTAAAGCTAATCAAGGCTTACTAGTGTGTAACATCTAGAACTGATGATAAGAATCAGTAACTTCAACCATATACAATAAAAAACAAAACAAAAGTTTACCTTTCTCAAAATCCTTCTCTTGGTCATCAATCATGACTAAATCAGCATTTCCTACCTCCTTTTGAATGTCTATTCAACAAATAAACTACAGCTTTATAACACCCTAAGATAAAGGATCACAGAATTCAACAATTGTTATAAACTACAGTTTACCTTGTTCCATTGTCCCCATAAGATCAAGACTGGCCTCAACATCAATGGAATGACCATCTATAGGTTCCTCTTGGTCTGCATCACAAATTTGCTGGTTCTCTCCCATTCTAGTGCCACTTCCATCACCGTTTTCATTGTCTTAAGAAAAAAACAGATACAACAATAAAAAGAACTATCTGGTGTTGAGTCTAGAAGATTATAAACAATCCAAAATCAATTTGAGAATCCAATTTCAAAACGCAGAAAGATCGAACAATAATTAAGAGTGACGACAGACCTTTCGCAACAGGTGGTGGTGGTGGTTCCGCCGCAATCTTGGCTTCTCCGGAGGTTGGAGGTTCACTGTTCTCGATAGAAGCGCCGCCGCCATCTCCCAACTGAAACAAAAACGGAAATCCCCAAAATCGCCCTAAATATTTCAAACCAGAAGCTCCAGATGGCACGAAAAGATGGGGAAGAAGTAAGGTCTCCGATCAGAAACCTTTGGGCGTTTGAATGAAGGAGATTTATCTTCGGAAGAAGAAGATGGCGGAGTTCGAGTCAGAGGCTAGATTGCCACCGAACCGGAAATGTTAATCACGCCTGCCATTTTGGAGTCTCAATGCCACTCTAATATGTGTTATTTCCATTTTGTCCTTGATGAATATTTTTTATTTAATTAATTATTAGAAATTAAAACGAAAAAAAAAACAAAAAGCAAAAAAAATGGAAGCAGCGTCCCGTGTTCGTATAACATCTTTCCGTGTTAGCCCATTTGAAGTTCTATAGGCCCATTTATAGTAATGGCCCAAATTGCTTCTTCATAAATAATTGGTTTCGGCCTCAATAGTCAATACTTCCCCCTTGAATACCATTCCATGTTTTTGGGTCAACGTCCAAAGTATTTAACGATTAGAGAAACTAAAAATGGAATGGTTCGTCACATGTTCACGATCACGACTAACGTATTTACGAGGATATTACTCTATTCCGTCGTACGAGAATATTCAAAAGTGTGAAATCTTTTCTTTCTGACTTGTCCTTTTTTTTTTTTTTTTGTCAAAGTCTGACTTGTCCATTTACATTACATAGACTACATTTTAACAAGTCTTATAGCACAGAAAATTTCCCAAAAAAAATGATCGATGTGAAGACAATAGACATTTGTTTCCCTTCTTTTATTTTTCAATATTAGATAATGTAATGGTTACTTTTACCAAATATGAAATAATTTATATTAAAGTTTAACAAAATAAATTAAAATAGAATATTAATAACAAAAATGAATATGTTTTGACTTAAAAGAAAACTAAAATGTACATGTTTTTAATCCAAGTAAATTTACATTAATATTGCTAGATAGTAGATACTAATTTAATCAAAAAAACTAAATAATATTTTAGCATCAGTTACCTTTGAAAGAAACGAGAAAAGAAAAAAAAAAAAAACACTTGTCAAATTTTAGAATTTAGAAATTGGATAAGAAAAAGAAAATAACATAAATAAGGAATGTAAGAAAAGAATAATTTGATGCAACCAATCACTGATCTCTAGGACAAAAAGTGAGGACCATAGTTTAAGCGACACTCTTTGGTTAAGATTAGATTAGATCGGTCCGATTCCCTTTATATAATCACATGTTCCGCCATTATCATCTTCTAATTTGAAAACTCTTCATCCAATGGCGGCGATAAAACCCGGAGTGATCGCTTTGTTCGACGTCGACGGTACTCTCACAGCTCCAAGGAAGGAAGCTACTCCAGAATTGCTCGATTTTATCCGAGAATTGCGCAAGGTTTGTCATTGATCCATCGTTGTGTTTATGCCTAGTTAGTGTTCGATATAATGTCTGTGAGAGTTGCAGGTCGTCACTATTGGAGTCGTCGGTGGATCTGATCTAAGCAAGATATCTGAGCAGCTTGGGAAAACAGGTACGACTGTGATCGGATCCAATAAAAAACTAAAATCTGTTGTAGAATTTTCGATTTGGTATTCAAAGAAACGATCTTATCCTACTTTCATGAGAATGATCTCTTTTGCTCTGTTCTCTACTATATGGATGGATCCTTTTAAAGTGGAGACAAACTACATAGATTGTCTCTGCTTTGTGTCTTTGACTAGATCCATTAATAGCATGCATACAGAATAAAGTCTGTAGATTTTGGAATTTTGGATAGCTGCCGATCGATCATTCTGGAATGAGTTTGATTTACCTAAGTCTTAGTTTTCGTCTGACTTTCTTAAGAGGGAGTTTTAGATCTAGCTCTAAGTTTCTTGCCTTGTGATTCTCCAGCTGTTTGGCTAAAACTTTTGAATTTGTAAATTTTGCAGTCACAAACGACTATGATTATTGTTTCTCTGAGAATGGTCTTGTTGCCCATAAAGATGGGAAATCCATTGGAGTTCAGGTGCATATGAAACAACGGCTTTTACTTACTTTATCCACATTATTGTTTTTATCGTTTCTTAATAGTTTTTGTATATTTTTCTCAGAGCCTGAAGCTGCACCTTGGAGACGATAAACTCAAGGTAAACTCATAGCACTGTCCTTCATGTGTAGTAGCAACAGTTGCTTTAATGATTTTTCTAGTGGTTTCATTGATGTTGAATTGTATGCGAGTATATGTATATAGATTATAGATAGTTTATCATAGCGTGAATTGATGATGCAGGAGTTGATAAATTTCACGCTGCACTACATTGCAGACTTGGATATTCCAATTAAGAGGTATAATGTGGATCCAACTACTAGTCTCTATTCATGTTTGCAAAGTGATAAGATGATTTATTTTCTTGACATTTGTATACATAGGGGAACATTTATTGAATTCCGAAATGGAATGCTCAATGTATCACCCATTGGTCGCAACTGCAGCCAAGAAGAAAGAGATGAATTTGAGAGATATGATAAGGTAAAAGAAACTATATTTTAGTTTGTTCAGTTTCTTTAGAATATATCCTGAGCGTTGTCATTCTACATTTTGTTTAAAAGGTTCAAAACATCCGACCAAAGATGGTAGCTGCACTTCGTGAGCGGTTTGCACATCTTAACCTTACTTTCTCAATTGGAGGACAGATAAGCTTCGATGTGAGTAGAATGAAAATGTGGATTATAACAATTTCTTATATCCAATAATTTTGAATTACTGAGTCTAATTAAATTGTTATGACTTAGGTGTTCCCTAAAGGTTGGGATAAGACTTACTGCTTGCAATACCTTGAGGACTTCAATGAAATCCATTTCTTCGGTGACAAGACCTATGAGGTATAAAACTCGTCTCAACTTTCCATTTTCGTTAGAGTTGTTATATGGTTTCTGTTGAGCTTGATGGGTAAAACATGGGTTTCACCTTCTGCAGGGTGGAAACGATTATGAAATCTATGAATCACCAAAAACAATTGGCCATTCAGGTCAGTTACTTGGATACATTATCGTTTAATCTCTGTATGTTTGTGTTGGGAGATATATATTCATGACAAGTAGGATTGTTTCTGTTGTTGCAGTTACGAGTCCAGATGACACAATGGCAAAATGCAAGGCTCTGTTCATGTCTTGAAACACAATCCATCTCAGTGTCAAGAGTTTGATTCTTCTTTGGTGAAATCTCACAACTTTTGATTATTTACATTACAAGAAATGGAGACAAGTGTGTCTGAATACTATCAATACCGTATGTTTTGAATTTTGATTCATCAAATAAGATATTTCGTTATATAACCTTTGTCCCAGAACAAAAGCTGGTTCTCAAAGTTTTAAAACTAAGGTTAAAATATCCTCTTCAAAGTTTTCATTGCATTGAAATTTAACACTTAGTTGTTTAAAACAAAAATATTTGTATAGTCAAACAAATAGTTTTAAAATTTAGTTTACATAATAACAATATTTGCAAAAAAACCATAATTATTAGTGTAAGTGTAATTTACTTGCGTGAAAAGCGGTTGGACTAATAATATTTTTTACGGACCCGTCGGATGTGACGGGATGCTTAGTCCGATTTGTTTTCAATTGCTAAGTGTTAATTTACTTGCGTGAAAAGCGGTTGGACTATCAACACCTCTTACGGACTCGTCGGATGGGACGGTATGCTTAGCCTGGTTTGTTTTCAATTGCATTGAAATTTAAAACTTAGTTTTTTTTTTTAAACAAAAATATTTTGTGTAGTAAAAAAATAGTTTTAAATAATTAGTTTACATAATAAAACTATTTGCAAAAAAACCGTAAAAATTAGTATAAGTGTTACTACTTGCGTGAAAAAGCAATCGGACCCGTCGGATGGGACGGGATGGTTGGCCCGGTTTGTTTTCAATTGCATTAAAATTTAAACTTAGTTTTTTTTTTAAAAACAAAACTATTTTGTGTAGTGAAAAAATAGTTTTAAAAAATTAGTATACATAATAAAAATATTTGCAATTTAACACTTAGTTTTTTTTTTAAAACAAAAATATTTGTTGTAGTGAAAAAATAGTTAACAAAATTAGTTTACATAGTAAAAATATTTGCAAAAAACCCGTAAAAATTAGTCTAAGTGTTAAATTTACTTGCGTGAAAAACGGTTGGACTAATAACACCTCTTACAGACCCGTCGGATGGGACAGGATGCTTAGTCCGGTTTGTTTTCAATTGCATTGAAATTTAACACTTAGTGTTTTTTAAAAACAAAAATAATTTGTATAGTGAAAAAATAGTTTTAAAAAATTAGTTTACATAATAAAAATATTTGCAAAAAAACCCGTAAAAATTAGTCTAAGTGTTAAATTTACTTGCGTGAAAAGCGGTTGGACTAATAACACCTCTTACGGACCCGTCGGATGGGATGGGATGCTTAGTCCGATTTGTTTTCAATTGCATTGAAATTTAACACTTAGTGTTTTTTTTTAAAACAAAAATATTTTGGTTAATCGAAAAATTTTAGATAAAATATCAAAACAATTTAGTTTTAAAAAAATCCTTTGGTATCTTATTATATAAAATAAAATAAAAATATATTGTATAAATCTAAAAATATGTATACGTAGAAAAAAAGAAGGTTATTTTAGTGTTTTATTTTAAATATAACTGAAAAAATGGAACAAGTAGTGGAAGAAATAACTTACAGCGCATATGTGTTGGTGATAGACTGATAGTGTTGTCCACAATTCTAGGATAACTTGGAATAACCTAAATTTGATAAAAACGAAATAAGGGAAAGGATTAATTAATGGTTGAGGGATGAATAAGTAATAAACTAAGAAATAGGAGAAAACAAAGAAAAGCAGAGAGGATTTTGAGAATACTTACAGATCAAGAAATTGTTAAGTGATTGTGACTAGTCGAACGGTTGATGATTGGCTTTGCTCACTGTCGGTGTGACTCTGCGGCTGTGACCTAATCCCCGACGATTGAGACTTGTTCTCTCCGGTGACTTGAAGACGCTGCTGCCTCACCACCACCGCCACGGCCACTAACGAGAGATGGATATGGATTAGAAATCAATCGACAAAATCCCAGAAAAAAGCATACGAAACTCGTTTTGGATCACACACCAACTTACTCAGTAAAAATCAAATCGATCATAGCTTTAGAAAAGATGATACCACAGACTTGTTCATGTATGTTTTTGCTCTCGTCGCCATTAGAACACTCTCTCTTTTTATTTTGGTCTGTGATAAGATTTTGATTTCTCGATGAAGAGATGTTGAGTATTTATAAACAGAGAGGCTCTTGCCAGGAAAAAGGAAATTCAGAAAAAAGGAAATATATCCGTTATCAAGAAAAAGGAAATTTATTTAGTTACAGATATAACCGTTATCAGAAAATATATCCGTTATCAGAAAAAGGAAATCATTTAATGAAGTAAAGGTTTGTTACTTTTGTTACGCAACTTTAATTTCGTTTTATAACAACGACATCGTTTGGAGGATTCATAGCAACGACGTCGTTTGAACGTGAGACCCTCTGTGTCAATTGGAGGGTTTCGGTTGGAGGATAATTTGCTCGCATTTGATTTGGTGACAAGACCTATGAGGTATAAAACTCATCTCAACTCTCCAAATCTGTTCGCAAGAGTTGTTATATGGTTTCTGTTGAGCTTGATGGATAAAAACATGGCTTTCAACTTCTGCAGGGTGGAAACGATTATGAAATCTATGAATCACCAAAAACAATTGGCCACTCAGGTCAGTTACTTGGATATATTATCGTTTAATCTCGGTATGTTTGTGTTGGGAGATATATATTCATGACAAGTAGGATTGTTTCTGTTGTTGCAGTTACGAGTCCAGATGACACAATGGCAAAATGCAAGGCTCTGTTCATGTCTTGAAACACAATCCATCTCAGTGTCAAGAGTTTGATTCTTCTTTGGCGAAATCTCAATACTTATGTGTGTTATTTACATTACAAGAAATGGATAGAACTGTGTTATAATACTATCAATACCGTATGTTTTGAATCTTGATTCATCAAATAAAATATCTTGTTATATAACCTTTGTTTCAGAACATGGATCTCAAAGTTTTTAAATTAATGTTAAAGATATCCTCTTCAAAAAAAATTGGATAATAAAGATTTTGTTTACAACAGATTCTCTCCAAAAGAGCTTTAAACTTTACAAGAATTTACAAGAAGAAACAACAACAATTGTATTTATATATTCATTTAAACAGTAAAAGCATATAAAACTTCAAACTTGAGAACTGGAAGATCGATCCTCCACCACATTCAAGACTCAACCACAGGCTCAGGCTCCTCTCCTGCAGCTTCAGCGACAGATTCATCTTCTTTTCCCTCGGGAATTGAGGCGCTGTCTTCAGGTTTGTGATCATCAGAAGGGGGAGAAGCGCCACCAGAAGAGGCGGATCGACGGTGGTTAGCAGCGGCTTGATGGACGTGATTGTAACTGCCTTTCTCGAGAAAGAGCTGATTGAAATGGACTTTACAGTAGAGGACGCCATTAAGAGAAGCGTAAGAAGAGTGAGTCAAAGGACAACCACTGTGACTGCACCTGAAGCAAGTCTTGTGGTAACTTTCTCCTTCCATTGTTACTTTCTCAAGTGGGTAAACCGTTTTCTTACAAGTCGCACATTTGTCTTGTGTTCCACTGAAGAATGATGATAACTTGCTTGGAGTTCGAGTCTTGCATAATCCAATTGAGAAAAAAAATCAGATGGAAACAAGAAAAAAAAAACAGGAAAAATAAAAAGATGAGTCTTTGAAGACATACCAGATGATCATTGGGCTTCTCGGTCTTTCCAGTCTGAAAATTCTTGCTGTAATTGCCAGATTCTTTGAAAAGCTGTTCGAAGTGTGGCTTACAATAAAGAACTCCATCCATTGATGAGTAATTGCTTATCTGTTTTTAAGAAAAAGATTTGATCTTTAAATAAATAAAAAAAGCATTGTCGAAAACAGAGTAACAATGGAGGAAGAAGAAAAGAGAAATACCACGAGAGTGCCTTTGCAATGGCTGCATCTGAAACATGATTTGTGATAAGTGTTACCCTCTAATGTTAACAAATCCATCACGTACACGGTTTTGTCACAGGCCTTGCATTTATCCAATGTTCCTGTAAACGACATTTTCTCTCTTTCTTTCGGAAATTAGATTCAAAAAGTTTGTTCTTCGTTCGCCGGTTCTTGTCTTAGGACACGACCAAACGACGACGAGAGAAAAAAAACCAGGTTTTGTGTTTTTTTCTTTTCATCTCTGAAGTTTTCTGTCTTATTTATCAAAAATTCTTGAAGAATTGAGAATTTGAGGTAATTTTGGTTCCAGTGGTAGAGATTCGAAAGAGGAGAAGCCACTAAATCATTTTCCATCATCAAAATTCTAATTCTGGGTTTCGACGTTTTCAGCCGTAAGCTCTGTTTCGGAAGGTCTATTTTTAAATTAGGAGCGAATAAATGATAAATACAAAGAAACATGGGGTTATTTCATAATTATACGAAAGTACAGGACTAATTTAGTGAAATAATGTGGATAAGAGTGAGTGAAGAAGAGCCTGTCTGTGTGTGTAACGAAAATCCCACTTGACGACGACGACCTAAAGAACAACGACTCCGGCGAGTGTCTTTCACTTTCTCAGTAATCAGACGACAAAAGAAAATTATTTATCTTCTTCAGTTATAATCTCAGCTAAGCTCGGTTTTGTGGATAATTGTCAGTAATTTCCGATCTTGCCCTCCCCCGAGAGAGAGAGCGAGAGAGAGTCCAATCAGATCAGTCATCTCTTACAAAGCTCCGTTTGTCCTAACATTCACCAGATTGTTGTTTATAGCCTCTTCTTAGATTTACGATTTGTGAGCTTGTGAAGATTTCTTGGTAGAATTAGAGTTCTCTGTTTCGAGATCGAGATGAATAATAATAGAGGAAGGTTTCCACCGGGGATTGGAGCTGCGGGTCCGGATCCTAATTTTCAGTCACGGAATCCGAATCCCAGTCCTCATCAATCTCAGCCTCAACAGTACCTTCAGTCACGGACTCCGTTTCCACAGCAACCTCAAACTCAGCCTCCACAGTATCTCCAGTCTCAACCTGATGTTCAGCAGTACGTTCAACGAGGCTATCCTCAGCAGATTCAACAACAACAACAACAGCAGCAGCAGCAACAACAACAACAATGGTCTAGACGCCCTCAGCTTCCTGGTGATCCAAGTTATGTAGACGAAGTCGAGAAAACGGTTCAATCTGAAGCTATCAGCGATTCTAAGTAAGTGCTCGTTTGGAAGAATGGTTGTTATGAATGGTGCTCTTGTTGTGCTGTTTTACGGATTATGTGTGTTTCTTATGCTTATCAGTAATGAAGACTGGAAAGCAACTTTAAAGCTGCCACCACGAGATAATCGTTACCAGACAGAGGTATGAATGATTCCATATCTTATTGCTTTCTGAAATTTTCCTGAGTTATATTTGAATCTTGTTTTGACAAGACAGCAGTTCCCTTATAACATAGTTATTCCATATCTTGTCTCCAGGATGTGACTGCCACTAAAGGAAATGAATTTGAAGATTACTTTTTGAAGAGGGATCTGCTTAGGGGAATTTATGAGAAGGGTTTTGAAAAACCATCTCCTATTCAGGAAGAAAGCATTCCAATTGCTTTAACTGGCAGTGATATTCTTGCTAGAGCCAAAAATGGGACTGGGAAGACTGGTGCCTTCTGCATTCCTACCCTTGAGAAAATTGATCCAGAGAACAATGTCATTCAAGGTTTCTTACTTTCCTTTCAGAAATTTTCTCTGTTTAGAATTCTCCTGCTTTTCTCTGTAGTGAGTTATTTGATCAGTGGAACTTCCACTCCTCATTACTTCAGTGAAACGCTACTTTCTTGCTGACTTTTCATTACTTTTGTTGATCTTTTTTCTTATGCAGCTGTAATTCTAGTTCCAACCCGAGAGTTGGCCCTTCAGACATCCCAGGTTTGCAAGGAGCTTTCGAAATATTTGAAAATTGAGGTTATGGTCACCACTGGCGGTACCAGTCTGAGGGATGATATCATGCGATTATATCAACCTGTCCATTTGTTGGTTGGAACTCCTGGAAGAATATTAGATCTTGCCAAAAAGGGTGTGTGTGTTTTGAAAGATTGTGCGATGCTTGTAATGGATGAGGTGAGTTCATAATTCTACTATCCCTGAGCTAGATTTTTCTTATTGGTGTATTTATTGCTAAAATCTGTGAAGACAAACATTGTTGGATTTCTGCCAAAAGAACTTTTCTAGTTTTTCCCTGAACAAAACTTTCTCTAAAGTTAAAACAAAATTGATTCCTCTTATGCTAGATATTTGCAGATTTTGATTGAATAATTTTCTTTTTCGCATGAGCTCATGGTCTTAACTCGCAAACATCTTTTTTCCAGGCCGACAAGCTTTTGTCTGTAGAATTTCAACCGTCTATAGAGGAGTTGATACAGTTCTTGCCAGAGAACCGTCAGATTCTGATGTTTTCGGCTACATTTCCTGTCACTGTGAAGTCTTTCAAGGATCGATATCTCAGGAAGCCTTACATTATCAATCTCATGGATCAGCTCACACTTATGGGTGTTACCCAATATTATGCTTTTGTTGAAGAGAGACAGAAGGTGCACTGCCTTAACACGCTATTCTCTAAGGTCAGAGTTTTAGATAGTCCTAAACCCCAATGTTTTATTTTCTGGCTACTTAATGTAGTGGATCTTTTAATGGAAATATTGTTTATCAATCGCAGCTACAAATAAACCAGTCCATTATCTTTTGCAACTCTGTTAATCGTGTTGAGCTGTTAGCCAAGAAAATAACAGAACTCGGTTACTCATGCTTCTATATCCATGCAAAGATGGTTCAAGACCATCGGAACAGGGTTTTCCATGATTTCCGCAATGGTGCATGCAGAAATCTTGTTTGCACTGGTACGTTTTGTGTTACTCAGGTACTTGAACATTGACAAATGTGTTTAAGTTTCACGGGGAATGTCTCTCTGTTGCAGATTTGTTTACACGTGGGATTGACATTCAAGCTGTGAATGTGGTCATAAATTTCGATTTTCCTAGGACTTCTGAGTCGTATCTACATAGGGTATGTTAAGGGAAGCCGAGTTTGATTTATCTTCTTGAGAACCTTTTCTTTTTTATTTGTTCAAATTGTGAATGGGTTTTCACTCACTTATTCATTACATTACCAGGTAGGCAGATCAGGACGATTTGGACACCTTGGGTTGGCTGTGAATTTGGTAACTTATGAGGACCGCTTCAAAATGTTCGTGTTTCTTCTTCTCAACTGGTGTAGCCTCTCTTTTCTTGATGATATAGCTTTCTTACTCACTTATTCGGTTTCCAACAGGTATCAGACTGAGCAAGAACTTGGAACCGAAATCAAGCCCATACCTTCACTTATCGACAAGGCAATCTACTGTCAGTAACTTCTACCTGGTGTACATTCTCCACCCGGCAATGCATTGATGGATTAACGGGTGAGACAAATCCCTCTCTAGGCATCTCGACATTAAAACTAAACCTGCATTGGTCATAGACCAAATTTCCATTGATTTTGGTTTGCCATTGTTTAGGTGTATTGAGGCGGCAAATCATTCAGCTTTGGCAGCCACTAGCTCGTTCTAGAGATGAAGGTAACACACAGAGTACTGTACTGAGGCAAGAAGTGGCAGTATAGGTGGTTGATGGCGATAGAAGCAGTTGATTGTATCTAAACCTTTAAAGCAGTACCGGCTTGATTTGGTTTGGTTTGAAGACTTCTTCTGCTGCATGATATGAACCTTAAACTTGTCTTCTCTCATCTCTCATTTCCATGTTCTAAGAGACCTTTTGCCTTTTCATTTTCATGTTCTCTCTCATCTTGAAGACTTGGGAGGAATTTCCGAGTAGTGAGATCAAACCGAAGAAGATATTTTTACTTCATTCGCTTGTTTATTGCTTTTAGATCTCCACCTGTGTCTAAACTATCAAAGGGTTTTAGTTGATTTGTGTGTCAAGTCAAGTGTCTTAACATTTTAGAATTTAAAGGATCAGATGTGAAATCATAATCGTATAACTGAAACAAAAAGCAAAACATGATTGATGCTTCATACAATTATACTCCATAAAATCTTTCACTTCAATGTTGTTTTTACACAAAACCTCCCAATATGTAAACAAGACACAAACAAACAAACAAATAACCAAAAACTATAAAAAGTTGTTGAATCACACAAAAAAAAAAAAAAAGAAGAAAGAAACAGAGATGAATTGTTTACAAACATTGACCTGAGAAACAAATTCAATAAAGACTTAGAAACATCCACAAGTTGCCTTTGGTACTACACCAGTGGCTCTATACTTAGCACCCATTTCTTCAGCTTTGAGAAGCTCTTCTCCTTTCTTAGCTTCAACCATTGCTCTCTTCTCTTCTGCTAGCTTGTGGATTGCAGCTACTTTGTTCTTCATTTTCTCACCATACTGTGCTTTTTTCTTCTCTAGTTTTTCTTCGATCTTCCTGAGTTGAGCTTCTACGGCTGCTTTCTTGGTATTCTCCCAAGCATGCACATCAGAGATCTTCTTTTGTGCCCTGTCCATTTCAAGATCATCAGAGACCTGTAACAAGAAGAAATCTTTGGGTGAGAAGATGATGAAAATTTAGAAAGTGTACCTATTCTCAGCCTTTGACTTCTCACTCTCTTCCCATGCTTTGATGAATGACGTTTTCTTCTCCTTTTCCAAGTCGGCAAGTATCACATCTGACCAAACACACACATCACATTTGAAGTAAATTACTGAACTAAGTAACTAGAAACTGGACATGCATGAGAAACAAAATGTTGTTATAATTAGCTGACCTCTATCGGCCGAACCAGATGAAGTTTTCTTCGGTGTATGCTCCTCGATGGGTTCTGCAAGAAGCTCAATTATAAGTACAACACATAGAGATTTGTTGCAAGAAGCTCAATTATAAGTTGAATTTTGATGCTCTAATTGGCTAATAAGGTCATCAATTAAATAGTTCCATCCATCACCAACTCGTTTCAAAATAAAAGTTTATGAAACTTCAAACCGCAAAGCAGAACACAACATGACCGTCTTTCTACAGGAGATCGCATGATCCGATGGAACGGTGGAGCAACGGGTATTTGTGTCTTTTGTCAAAACTGTGTGGAAACTAGAGATCATCTCTTTTTCGCTTGCTCTTTTACCTCAGGAATTTGGAAGACTACTGCTAAGGGGATTCTCCAAGCACGTTTCACTACAGGCTGGTCACAACTCATCGATCATGTTTCAAATAATCAACGAGGCAGAGTGGAGAGCTTCCTAATTCGATACGCTCTTCAAACTACTGTTTACATGATATGGCGGGAGCGAAATGGTCGTAGGCACGGTGAGGATCAACACTCGGAACCACTCATCACAAAGTGGATAGATAAACAAGTTAGAAACCGGATCACAACTCTTCGACGTATGGGAGACAGAAGATACGACGAGGCGTACCAAATGTGGCTAGCTACTCGGAGCTAACACGTTCAAATTCTCATAGAATTCTTATCAGTTAATTTTTTCAACCCTATCTCAAACTCACGCCGCACTTCGTTGTAAAAACGTTTATTTTTTCTTTTGAATATAATTTAACATTAAATTCAAAAAAAAGCAGAACACAACATAAGAGTTCAAGAACCTAACTTTAGTTAAAAGGAATTACAGATAGTAAATAAAGAAGATGAACTAATGAATGTTCTTGGATTTAAAAACTGCTTAAAAGTTAGTAGTACTTAGTTGTTATTTTCAAAGAGTTACGCAACTTTAAGGGAAGGAAAAAATGTAGGAATATTAAGAAAGTAAACCACTTTTCTTAATTTATAGCTGTCCACAACTAATTTGTCATGATTCCATATACTTTTGATAACACTAATTACAGGGAAAATTGCTTTATTACTAATCATATTTTAATAATATCTTCCTCGAAAAACCTAATTTTCTTGAAAATGCCATGATGAAGTTGTAAATTCGAACAGCGATGGATTTTACCTAAACATAGACCCAGCCATATAATTCACAAAAACCTTAGGCATCTGAAGAAAATTCATTTGTTAATTGTAAATTTAAACCTCAGTTCCAAGCGTAAGAATTCTAAATTACATACTATATATATAATTAATTCATCGTAAACATGAATCAATATTCCTAAGTATAAGATTACCGTATATAAACAAACACACACGTATGTAAATAAGAAAGCTTACTTTCTACAACGGCAAGAGCTTTGGACTCAACGGGAGGTGGATTATGAATTTTCTCATCCGCGACTTCCACCGGAGCAGGAGTCGGTTCCGTTGCCGGAGCTAAAACCGCCGGAGATTCTACGTCAGCCTTACTCGTCTTTTGCTCCTCCGCCATTGTCTCTCAGCCGAAGAAGAAGAACAGATTTTAATTTTTTTCCTTAGAAAATAAAACAACCGGATAAAATTGAGATTTTAGGGAAATAATGAGAAAAGAGTTTTTATATCCTCCGTTAGCTTATACCGGTGGAGCGTACTACGCGCGTTTAATATGTGTGAGACACTTGTTTTGCTTCACCGTTGATTTTTGTGCCCATGTGATCGTGCGGCTGGAAAGCTTGCATACGCATTGGATGCGATACATGTGATTAAACACCTCACTGCCGACAGGTAAAGTGGTTCAATGATGCCACGTCACCTCTGTAGAAATATTGTCATTCTTTTCCTGATGATATTCAACAAAACTAATTCTTCCAAATTCCGAACTAAAAGTTTAAACTAGTTTGAAACTGAAAATAAGATTGGTGAAATTTTTTTTTAAATTAAGATTTTATCATAGATTTTTTATTATGAGGAAAAACAACAATCAAACTACATTCAAGAAAAGGAAAATTTAATAAACAATCTGTATTATATTTGACTTTATATAGTTGCTAATCTTGGCAAACTGAAAAGGTCGAATTAAAAACTGAATCTAAATTTGGAGTGAGCTCGAATCGAATGCTATAGAATTGACAGAGTGTCGTGTGAATCTGTATTAAATGTATAAGAATAAGATAATATCTACATCGATCACTCGAATTTATTTTTTTTTTTTTTGTCGTCTAGATTTATTATTAATTGCAAATTATGAGAACTGTTACATAGACGATTCTACAACTGACAATTCCTTCCGACCCTTACTAGATTCACGACAGACTACACTTCCTTCTTCGTAATCTTGATGAATACCTTCAATGATCCACGACCTCGCTACACTTCCTTCTCTGCGTAGAATCCTAGCGAACGGCTATAATTGTACATCGCTGGAGATCTCTTGCACACTTGCCTCCATTAATCTGCAAATTTGTTAATAAATCGCAATACCTGGGACTCGAACCCCAGACTTTTTGGTGTAGAAGCATTAATCAACCCTTGGTCAACCAATGGGCCAAGGGGGCTTCCACCACTCGAATTTATTTAAACAATTCTTTTAGTTTAAATAATTTAGTGTATCAATGGGTGACGTGGAGCCTCACTGAGTGGACACGCTAGAAGACAGATACAAAAGGATAATGTCTTTGTTGGAACCTCACCCATTTTGTCTCGCGCGTATATAGAACGCTCCGGTTATGTGGTGTGGTAGAGAAGGTAATTAAACCGGTGTAGGCATATGATATATATGGGCCATGAGATAGAGTAGATATTGGGCTTTTTGTGCATCCTAATGGCCCAACGGGTTTTAAAATTTTCTACCCAACTTGTTTTAATTAAAAGAACGTTGTAATATTTTTTTCAAAAGCAATAAAGTAATAATAAAATAGGATGTGGATGTGAATGTGATTAAGGGTAATGATAATCACATACAGTGATACAGACTCACAGTTTTGAACAGCATGTGAAAGATGTATTATATACATTTATATAGGTCTGTAACGTAATTTGATTTTCTTAGAATAATAAACAAATTCTCTACAAAATGGAATTATTTGTCTTGTATAATGAGTAGTCGAATATGGTCTGTGATGTCATTCAACTTTATTTAATGGGTTAAGCTTTATCTTCGAAGTTGGGATTATTTTTTTCAATTTTCAAGGCATTTATAACAAACTTTCTCAAAGAGGACTTTAATAATTGAACTCTTATTATGGTTTTATTTTTGTAGTAAGCAGATTATTTTTCTAAGAACATCAAAGGTCCTGTACTGTATTTAGTTATTTACCAATAAATACAACGTTAATAAGAGAGGATTATTTGGGAAACATTTGCATATCTCATATCATTGTCCATGTGCGATATTAGCATAGGAATATGGATGACCAATTTCTCCTACTAATTAATAAAATATTATCTATTTAATATTCAAAAACATTTTGAACCCTTCGAAAAAACTAAAAAGTAAACAAGATTCACACAAAAATATGAACTTCATTAACACAAAAGATGTGAACTCTGGTTAGTGTTGAAGAAAACGTGAAACAAGATTCAAATCCTCGTGGAAAAGCACCAATATTCGATCATCAGAATCAAACCTTTGAGCTTCCTCCTAGCTTCGGTAACGTTTAATCTCGCCTGATTCTCGTTTTTCTTCTCTTCCTGTTGAATGTTTGTGAGCATATATATGTAAAAAGCTGAGATAGATATAGATTCATGCTTCACCGGATAAGCATGAAGAGGAACAACAACAATCCTCAAACGAACAAGAATAAGTATGTCTGTCTTAAAACGGCGTCGCATCCAGCAAAAAGCATCGCTAAAGCTACTCTGTTCCTCGTCACCTCTCTCTTCATATCTGCTGGTCTCTTAGACTTATTGGGTTGTTTCGATTTCGTGAGTTCGAATCTGAAAAAACTTCATTTTTAGAAACTTTTTATTCAATCAAGTGAATCTCGAACTTGAAGTGTTACTTAATTTAATTCATATCTCTCTGTTCTTCAGACAACTTTTGCAGGTCTGATGCAAGTAACAACAACTATCAGAAAATCACCAATCACAAACCAAAGATTCCCTAACCAATGCGACGTCGTAAAGAACCAAACTCAATTATTTCCCGAAGATGGCTCCTCGAGAAACAACAACAAAAAACCCAGAAGCAGCCATTCAAGACCATCCACGTGTCCTTCTTACTTCCGTTGGATCCACGAAGATCTACGGCCATGGAAAGAGACAGGTATAACGAGAGGGATGCTTGAAAAAGCGAGGAGGACGGCGCATTTCAGGGTAGTAATCCTCGACGGGAGAGTGTACGTTAAGAAGTACAGAAACTCAATCCAGACTAGAGATGTTTTTACTCTGTGGGGCATTGTACAGTTGCTACGGTGGTACCCAGGTAGATTGCCAGATCTTGAGCTCATGTTTGACCCAGATGATAGACCAACCGTCCGATCTAAAGACTTTCAAGGTCATCAGCACCCGGCCCCGCCTCCTTTATTCCGTTATTGCTCTGATGACGCCAGCTTGGATATCGTCTTCCCTGATTGGTCCTTCTGGGGCTGGTAAGGGATTAATTATATTCTCTATCTAATGGGCTTCTTATTGTACATAGCTAATTGTATTATTATTGGGCCAGGGCTGAGGTTAATATAAAGCCTTGGGCTAAATCGCTAGTGGCGATAGAAGAAGGGAACAAGATGACGCAATGGACAGACCGCGTGGCGTATGCTTATTGGAGAGGAAATCCCAATGTGGCTCCAACTAGAAGAGATCTTCTTAGATGTAATGTCTCAGCTCAAGAAGATTGGAACACACGTCTCTACATTCAGGTTAGGGTTTCTCAAAATATGTAGAATTTTCTATATTGCAATTTATAAATAATCTAAATGATTTTGTTTATTATTGTGAAGGATTGGGATAGAGAATCTAGAGAAGGATTCAAGAATTCAAACCTAGAGAACCAATGCACCCACAGGTTAAAACTTAAGCCATATTTTATTTACTTAGGACATGTTTGCAAAATTAGATTTTTAAATTTTTGGTAATGTTGGAATAGGTACAAGATTTATATAGAAGGATGGGCATGGTCAGTGAGTGAGAAATATATAATGGCATGTGATTCAATGACATTATACGTGAGACCTATGTTCTATGATTTTTACATACGAGGAATGATGCCATTACAACATTATTGGCCAATCAGAGACAACACTAAGTGTACTTCCCTCAAATTCGCCGTACATTGGGGAAATACTCATTTGGACCAGGTTTGTAAATTTATTACATTTAAGACCCTGAAAGTTTTGGTTTATTACAAAGTAACCCATTAATTTTGGTTTGTTTGATAGGCGAGTAAGATAGGAGAAGAAGGGAGTAGGTTTATTAGAGAGGAAGTGAAAATGGAATATGTGTATGACTACATGTTCCATTTGATGAACGAGTACGCAAAACTTTTGAAGTTTAAACCGGAGATTCCGTGGGGAGCCACCGAGATTACGCCGGATAGTATGGGCTGCCAAGCGACGGGACGGTGGAGAGATTTCATGGCGGAGTCGATGGTGATGTTTCCTAGTGAAGAGTCTCCTTGTGAGATGCCTTCTCCTTTTAACCCTCAGGATTTAAGAGAGGTTCTTGAGAGAAAAGCTAATTTGACTCGTCAAGTTGAGTTGTGGGAAGATCAATACTTTCATGATTTGGCTTTGGCCAATAGCAAGAAGCCTTGACCAAAGAGGCTCTTGTTTTGTTTAGATGATTGATTTGCATTTATTATTGAAATTAGTATAAAGTAAACTAGTAATTCTTTTTTTCCGACTAGTGTGTTAAATGTATTGAAATGATTTTTTAGATTATACAAACAACGATTTATCTTTTGTAATGGATAAACTAACTATGAATAATATGCTTACAATATAATCTGCAACACAAAGCTCCCTAATCTAGTTACAAGTTATTTTGTTATAAGAAGTAATAAATTATTGATAAATCTCGTAAGTAACTTATTCATGAGAAATTTAACACATTGGAGTTGTTGATCAATTACTAACATATACAACTAATTTTATTAAACTAATTTTCTTATTAAAATAAAATTCAATTGAATTGATCGAGATAAGCTACTATTAGTCTACTCTTTATTACGTTCTATTTTAAAACTTTTGCAGTGTACGAGAGTCATCAGATGTTATACGGTTTCCTATACGTTAATCACGTGATATAGAGTCATAGAGATATAATATTAGCACTGGTTATATATTAAACATTTCAATGGGTCGTAAAATTAATACTCTGAGTCTCTGACTCTTCTGCAGTGATAACGTGAATGCAAATCTCAGGGTTAAATTAATAATGCAAGGAATTACCAAACTTTAAATATTGAAGAATATATTCATCAAATTATTTTCGAGAAAAAAGGTGTTGAAAGACGTTATTTTTAAATTTCCACCTTAAAGTTTAAATTAATTTACTAAAATCTAAAACACGTCACGCATAATCTATGAACATCATTCTTCGTGTAAGTATGTACAATCGTTGATTCTAAAAATCATTCTTTCATATAAGTATGTACAATTGTTGATTCTCAGCGGTAAATTCCATCTACTTATAAGAAAAACTTGTGCTATAAATATAATTCTAGTTTTATTAGTAAATATATTTATTTATTTATTTAATATTTTAAAGTTGTATTTTCAGTCGAATTTGTGTGATTGTTAATAATATTTTATATAAAATATATACTTAATATGTTTAATTTTATCATTCTAATATATAAGTTTAACAGATATTTTACAAGAAAAATATATCTATAAGTTTGGTTCAATTTTTTATTTTATTTACTAAGACATTTTATTTTGGTTGAAAGTTTTTAAAATTACATTCATTAAAATTGGAAGAAAAATTTAAAATAGAATGTTTTGAAAGTAAACTAATTTTTTTTATAGTATCAAACTTTGATAAATTTTTAATCATATAAACTGGAATGATTTATATTCTAATTTAATATGCATTAAAAACTCTAAACACTTAATATATAGGAAACTGAAATAGTTGATTTGGTAATAATAAGGTAACTTAAGAATATCAAATTTGGAAACTTTATATATTAGAAAAATTTAAGTGTCTTTGCTAAGTGATTGAAGAGAATGAAGATAAGAAAAATATGTTTGACAAATGTAATAATAGAATTAAATAAAAAAAATAGAAAAGCTGAGAAAAATGTGAGTTTCCCACGTAGAACTAAAAACTTTTTTTTATTATATAGAATATATAGAATATAATGGCAACCATAAATATTAATTAGTTTTCTCTCCTAACATAATCATGGTAATTAATTTTGCAAAGACCATATGTGGGTTGGTTCGGTTCTCAATAAACCAATAATTATCTATTTTCTTCTTCAAATTTCCCCAGAAAACATGGGTCCAAAACACTACAATTCTTAGATACAAATTAATCAATATCTGTAATCCTCTTTTCCTTCTAACATCACAAAATTAAATGTGATCCTCTTACCTCTCTCTCTTGTTCATTTTTTTTCTTAGATTGAATTAAACACATAATATCTATGAGTTCTCACGTGGTTGATCATCAAAGGCAACCTACTAACTCAATCTCGAGTTTAAGTTATAAACTAACCAAGCCATGGATCAACACCTCAATCTTCATCTTTGTTTTCTTCTTCTTCATCATCCTCCTTGGAGCTTCTCTCAGCTGGATGGACATGGTATATCTATATCGATCTAAATATAATTATTCCTTACAATCTATTAGTATCTCAAATGGGTTTAATTCACTCAAAAATTGTTCTCTCTTTCATAGTTTTCAATAGGTGGAGGTAGAATCAAAGTGACACCAATATTTACAAGAAACACCAATGCAACTATCCCCAAGAAAAAAATCTATACACCAGTTAACTTCACATTGCAATGCTCACTAGACCAGAACATAGCAACACATGTGTGTCCTGCAAGCAACCCGGACAAATCACAACCTAGTAAGGACGATCCAGAGACTTGTCCAGACTACTTCAGGTGGATCTACAAGGATTTAGAAGCATGGCGTGGGACTGGAATCACTCGAGAGACGTTAGAGAGAGCGAGTGATAAAGCTCACTTCAGGCTGATAATAAAAGGAGGAAGAGTGTATGTGCAACAATACAAGAAATCTTTTCAGACAAGAGATGTTTTCACTATATGGGGAATAGTACAGCTTCTAAGGATGTATCCTGGTCAAGTCCCTGATCTTGAGCTTCTCTTCATGTGCGATGACTTACCTGAAATCTGGAGAAGAGACTATAGGCCAAGACCAGGAGTCAATGTGACGTGGCCACCTCCTCCACTCTTCCACTATTGTGGCCATTCCGGTGCTTTCGACATTGTCTTCCCCGATTGGAGCTTTTGGGGCTGGTAATATAATCAAATTATGGTTGCATACATCTCACATACAAAGCCATTAATCTGTATAAAGATACTGAAACCGTTAACAGTTATAAAAAAAACTCTTGTTTGGATTTTAGAAACTTGGTTCGGTTTATATGCTCACACCCTTAATTATGGTTAGGCCGGAGATTAACATAAAGGAGTGGAATAAAATGTTGGAGGCGATAAGTGAAGGGTTAAAGAAGGTGAAGTGGGAAGAGAGAGAACCTTACGCATATTGGAAAGGGAATGCTAGAGTTGGCAAGAGAAGAGACCTCATGAATTGTCATGACCCCATGGTTCATCTCTATAGCCAGGTTTCTTTATATTTATATCTCTTTACCATGGTCTCTTTTATGACGATGACGATCTTAAAGATTCTAGTAGCTTGATGAATTGATGAAAATGTTAACGGTAGGATTGGTGGAAAGAGGGCAGCATTGGGTATAAGACTTCAAACCTAGAAGATCAATGCACCCACAGGTTTTTATATGAACCTTTTTGTTATTTGATGGATTAAATTTTAATATTAGTGATTTGTTTTTTTTTTTCTTTTTGGATAATGAAGGTACAAGATTTATGTAGAAGGAAGGGCTTGGTCAGTCAGCGAGAAGTACATATTAGCTTGTGACAGTATGACTCTTCTTGTGAAGCCATTTTACTTTGACTTCTTCACTAGAAGCTTAGTTCCAATGGAGCATTACTGGCCCATTAGACCTCGAGAAAAATGTAGTGACATTGTCTTTGCTGTCCATTGGGGGAACAACAACACCAAAAGGGTAAAATATAACAACTCAACCGGTCCTAGGTTTTTAGAAACTTCAAACAAAATCTTTTTGTTTTGGTGACAACTCTTTCTTTCTTTGATTTTAGAGTTTAGAACATTTTGGTAACAAAAGATTCAATTATATATCTAAAACCAGCAAGACAAATAATGTAACAACAACATTTTGTTTGACTCATAGATTGATGATGATCTCCTCATGTTTTATAGGCAAAAGCTATATGGAGAAATGGAAGTGGGTATATCCGAAAGAATCTAAAGATGAAGTATGTGTATGATTACATGTTGCATCTATTGCAAAGCTATGGGAAGTTGATGACGATGAATGTAGAAGTGCCTCAAGGAGCCAAGGAAGTGTGTCCGGAGACAATTGCTTGTCCAATCAATGGAGGCCGAATGAGACACTCTATGGATGACTCATTGGTTATGTCACCGAGCGTTAAGGCTGCTTGTGAGATGCCTCCACCTTTTGAAGAAGATGAGCTCAAGAGGTTTCTTGAGAAGAAAGAAAGTATTGAGAAAGAAGTTGAGAAGTGGACTAATGAGTATTGGGAGGAACAGAAGAAGATTCTTAAACATTGAGCTATTTATTTATATACAAAAACAAAATTAATTATGCATAATTAAATTTAAATGAAAATGACTTGGATCATATGAAGGCCCATAAAAAGGCCCAATTTCCAGATTCCGATGTAATATACCTCAGGTGAACTGAAATCTAAGCTGTAGGATCAGAACTGCAAGCAAACATAAATACTGAAATCTGAAATAGAGAAATCAAGGAACTCTGCAAATCTTCAGAGTCACAAAAACAACAAAACCAAATAAGCTTATAGATTTGAGAGGTTCACTAATAGAGTCAATCTTTTTCCCTACCATTTCCACATACTTTTGTTCAGAGGTTAGCTTATATTCCTTCTTCTTCTTCCTAGATTCCATGCTTTATATACACAGAGTTCTTTCCCGCTATCATCATCATCATCAACCGCGCATTAAATCAATATCAGCATGAGCATGACGCATATCCATTTGCCTTGAACCTGTTGACCATATCAGGTTTTGGCTTGGCTGCTGCTGAGGGACAGGCGAAATCGTGTTGTTATTATTGTCCAGAACGTGATGATCATCAGTGTCTTGAACAACTTCAGAAGCTTCTTCTTCTCGTTTCTTGCTCTTGATCTTTGGAGCTGCCCATATAAAGCTCCCTATTATAACCTGATAGACCCAAGAATATATATTTAGTCCCAAGAATTATGACTTTATAAAAAAAAAGCAGAGCTCAAGAGAAAAGTTTAAACCAGACCTGAACAGGACTTGCTGCTATTAAAGGCCCACCAATGGCACCGCCAATCACACGCCCATCGGGGCTAGCAAGCGAAACCGATAAGTTTCCAGTTCGATTACGGAAGCTTCCATCAGTTGCCACTAGATAAGATGTTGATAACGCTAGGATTTCAAACCGGCCCTGGAAATATACGAAACATATGTTTTAAGAAAAGAGTAAAAACACCAATGTTTCTCTTTATAGTAAGAAATTTCAAAACTGAACCTCGTATTTAATAGCTCCGGGAGCTGATGGTTGAAGAAGTGTTGCAGTAGAGACTGCACCACTTGCAGATAAAACGCAAATGGCTCTTGGACCTTGTTGAGAGAAAGATATAACCTTTGATGCAATATCCTGATGCAAAGTTTCAAAGTTTTTCAGCAAACAGCAAATCAAAAACACTTCAAGAAAGCTCTGAAATTGTGATTCAACATTACTTCTCCTATTGAAACCGCGATGACGTGTGGCGTGAAGCTCATTCCAGAAGATGAAGGCATCAATTCACCTAGCCATTCCAAAAAGAGCTCATGGAATTAATAAATGAGTGTCTAATTGATAGAGTTTTAAGCAGAGCATAATACACAAGATTAAGCTCCAATTTAGGAAAGTTTTAAGCTCCCACACATTAGGAATAAACAATTAGAGATATTTTGACTTGAGAAAACATTAAATAATCCTGGTTCTTGATCAATAAATAATGGAGCTTTTTTTGTTTCTCAAGATTACAAGTTTCAGAGTTTATTACCAATGGAAGCCATTCTCTGTTTCTTGCCGGAACCCGGAGGTCGACCACGGCCGCGTTTGTTAGAGTTGTTGGGAGTAATTGTCGAAACAGGGGAAGACGACAGTGCCAAAGAAACAGGACCGTCTTGTCCGTATTTTCTAGGACGTCCTCTCTTTCGTTTCATCGGAGTTTCACTAGGAGGTGGAGGAGGAGCAATCATATTAACGCCGATATGATGAGGAAGAGCTCCGGCTCCTCCGGCCGTTGTTGCCGGAGAAGGAGATCCGAAACCAGTGGAGCCTGGCCCGAATGGAGAGTTTTGATTAGGTAAGTGACGAAGCCCTTGCTGCTGTGATGATCCATGAAACGTTGGAGGACCCGACCCGGATAATCCTCTATGGATATAGTAAGAACCCGACCCGGATAATCCCATTGCATCTCTTCGATCCATTTTGCATTTACAGTAGTTGAAGAAAGACTCTTTTTAAGTGAAACCCTAAAAAGATTGTGGCTAGAATTATGAGGAGAGAGAAAGAAAGAAAGAGGATAAATGGATAAGAAGAAAAAACAGAATCAAAGGTTGAGACTTTATGATGAAGATATAAACTTGGCGAGAAAGGAACATGCAAAGCTCTAAACACTTTCTCAGCTTCTTACTTCTCCTCTCTCTCTTTCATTCTTTCACCATAAGCAACAAGAAAGAAAAGCTTTCTCTTCTATAACAATGGTTTTAGTGCTATCTCTCTCTCTTCTTGAATTTGCTTTTTTGTTTTCTGGGTGACAGAAGGAAACAGAAGCAAACAAAAAACCTCTAACAGAACCTCTCTCAAGCAAAAGCATTTACTGTGAGGATAACAACAATGGGATCTTTTAGTTCTCTTTTTTTTTTTTTTTTCTTTCTGAAAATGTATTTGGAAATTCAAAATCCTAATGAATAACTGACTATGACTGTAGCTCTATATGGCACATGACTCATATGGCCACACTCTTTTATCAGGCGCGTGTATCTCATCTCATACGCACCAGCATGTCACTCTTCTTTCTTCTCAACCAAAAAATCTTGATGAACAGATTCTTCCTTTTCAAGCTGATGTTACTCATATGGCCACACTATTTACTAGTCACTACTGTTTCTATAGACTTGATTGATCTCTTTGGAAAATGATCTGAGACAGTAGTATCTATATAGAGAGTGGAGTTCACGCGCCGCAGAGTGAGAAAAGATTTGGGCCTGTCTGGTCAGAGACTTGCCCACTGGCTTCCACTTTGAGAGAGCTATTTTGACGAGAGAGGCTGATAAGAAGAAATCTATAAAATATCTATCTCGCAAGGACCCATTGATGGGATGATATAACCTCTCAAAGCCCTTAAGATTTTTTCCTATTAGGATCCAACTTTAATGTACCATGTATTGTGTGACACTGTTTGTATAAGACTTTTGATTATGACAAACACATTATGACTTTTTTTTTATATGTTTAGTGGAATGTACTAAACCAGAAAAGATCTTGGGTTTGACTAATATACCATGAAAGTCTTATGCCAAATATCAACATACTTATGTCTTTGTTTTGATCACCTAAAAGTTGATTTTTTTCTCTGAAAAATTAGAATCTATGCTGAATTTGAATCTTAGAACAATGAGGAACAATACCAATGCTAGACAGTGAGATTCAACTCAAAGTAAACGAAATAGCAATCACAGTAGAATAATAGCCAATTACACGATGATCCCAATCCGGTTTGATCGCAAAATTTTGAACTTAAAAAGGAAGAATGGAGTGATACATAAAAGTTTAACCTATAGCATTTGAGGGAAAATAAGAAGATAGATTCAACTAGATTTCTTCAAAGTAAAGACAAAGATCAATGAAGAACAGTTTACATACAAGTGAAAGAAAACTGAGGTTCCTTGGTCAATTGTCTAGCTCCATTGCCTGAGCAGCTTTAGCTTTAGCAGCTGGAGTCAGTTTCGTCTTCAATTTCTTCTTGCCAACAGAAAATCCACCTTTCTTCTTCTTCCCACTTCCATCAACCTTGACAACAAAATCAACCAACCCACAGATATCATCAACTACTCTAAACTTCACTAAAATGATTTGGAAAACTCAAACTACTAAGAAGATTCAATATATCTTTTTTCCCCAAATAAGCTTCTGATTAACACAATAGAGATCAAACTGACTCCAAGTAAATTCAAATCAATTAAATCATTTCACCATTGATAACCAATTAAAGTGATTAACTTAAGAGTCTTAGACAACCTGCAACAGAATCGGTTTACTACTTAACTAACACCACCAATGTATATGAACTAAATATCAGAATTAAGAGATAGGAGAGACAGAAAAAGGTGCTTACTTTCATCTTATTCTTGTTGGCATGAAGCTTCTTGATCTTCTTATCCTGTAATTCTTTCTCCTCTGCAAATCGGAAAAAAAAAAAATCCTAATTTCGTTGAGAACCTATGTATATACACATGTGTATAATACTGAAATCGTTTAAAGAGATATAAAGAAACCTACTTTGGAGATTGTACTCGTGCTGCTTCTTTCTCTTGGCTAAATTGTTCTTCTTCGACATTTTTTCCCGTTCCAATTTCACCTCAAACGTCGTCAATTGTTTCAACCATAACAGATGCGCGAAGATCTCTCTCTCTATAAACCCTAAATTTCAACTGACCTCAAAGGGTTCGGAACTTTTATGGGCTGACACATAAGCCCATTTAGGTCGATAGATTAGAAGTTTCAGTATAAGCCCAACTAAAAGCTGAGAAGCTAAAACGCTGTCGTATTATCGATCACACAACTTTTCCAACCACCTTCCGCCAAATCACTCGTCTCTCTTACTTTTGCACTCTGCAATTTTTGCATGTGTCTTCTTCTTCTTCTTCTTCTTCATCGTCTCCACCAAAATCCCTAACCCTAAACCTCGATTTTCCCGCCCAAAATGTATCAGTCCATGAACCTATCTTTTTCTTCTAACTTTACCAACCGATCCTTTCTCAAACCACGATTATGCTCCGGAATCTCCGCCAGAGCTCCCAAATCCCTCCATTTCAAATTCAATCCTTCATGCCTCTCCTCCGGCTCCAAATCCGACGATTCACCTCTATCCGAGAAGCTCATTTCGCTTCTCAAAGCTGTCCCTAACTGGTCAGACGGCATCAAAGAGAGACGGATGGAGCAGAAACGATCTCTCTACACTCACGAGAATTGGGTCAGACACAGAAGCTCTCTTCGCCATCTGCGTCACGTATCTTCGAGTCCGTCCTCACGCGTTATACTGTCTTTGATTCCGCCTGTTTTCTTCTTCACCACCGTCGCGTTCCTGATCGCCGGCTATAACTCCGCCGTGGATTTGGACTGGTTGCCTGATTTCTTCCCCGTCCTTCGAGCTTCTCCTCTTCCGTATCAGCTTACGGCTCCGGCTTTAGCTCTGCTTCTGGTGTTTCGCACTGAGGCTTCTTATTCAAGGTTTGAACAAGGAAGGAAAGCTTGGGTTAAGATCATTAGTGGAACCAATGATTTAGCTAGGTTAGTCATTTCTTCCGTTCACGGCTCCGGTGATGAATTGGTCATCAGAGATGCGCTTTTGCGTTACATTGTTGCTTTCCCTGTGGCGCTTAAGGTTTGTTGTTGTATTCCTCTATCTATGTTTTGTGAAGCTAGCTTATGTTGAGTTAGGTAGAGGAAGGTTGATGATTGTGATCTTTTTCATGTGCAGTGTCATGTAATTTATGGTTCAGATATTGCTACTGATCTCCAGAATGTGATAGAAGCAGATGATCTGTCTTTGATTCTTCAATCGAAGCATCGTCCTCGTTGTGTCATTCAATTCATCTCTCAGAGTCTTCAGCTGCTGAATTTGGACAGTACAAAGATAGATATGTTGGTATCTTTCTTGAATCTTTAAAGCATCTTCATTCTTGATTGTGATCTCTGAGAATGTGATTTCTGGTTAATTCTCTTTCCATAGACTTTGGATATGAACTACAATAAGTTACCTATCTTCTTCACAGGAATCAAAGATGATGCAATTACAGGAAGGAATTGGTGTATGTGAACAACTGATGGGCATCCCGATTCCACTTTCCTACACACGACTAACGTCGAGGTTCTTAGTCTTATGGCATCTTACGCTCCCTGTTATTCTCTGGGATGATTGCCACTGGAATGTAGTTCCTGCTACTTTCATCAGCGCTGCATCTCTCTTCTGCATTGAAGAAGTACCTAACTCATTTCTCCTTCATAGATTTAGTCACACTATTTGCTTCTTTTTGCTTGCCTCATTATCACTCTTTAACTTTGTGCTTGAAATTTTTGCAGGTGGGTGTTCTTATAGAGGAGCCATTTTCAATGCTAGCTTTAGACGAGCTATGTGCTATGGTGCTTAGTAATAGTGATGAAGCTGTTGAATCCAAAGAGGTCATACGCAATCGGATCATAGCAAAGAAAAGGATCCGTGAAATTAAGCACTCATCAAATGGTTGGCATCAATCTTGAAGTAATGAATGACAATATACTCTGTGTGATGGCTAACTTAGATTTTCGAATGTATAATTAATAGACTTTGGTCATTAAGTGCATCTTCCTCAGTTTCCCTTGTGTGTTGTGCTTGTACTGTACATATGGCATATGCAGTGTCTGCTTCTACGGCGGTGATGTTTTACGCGCGTTGGTTACTTTTGAGGTTGTTATTATTAAAAGTTCAAACAGAATAATTTAGTTCTACAATAATTTTCTCACACAGAATATTAAACCAAAATAGTTAACCAAAATAGTTTTGAAGTTGTATGTTATATATTAATTAAAATGCTTACTTTCATCGTTACGTACTGATGATAAAATATATATTAAATACAAATTTAAGATGTGAAAACATGTTGGATTTGTAGAATCTCTAACGACCACGGTTAAATGACGGGATCCAGAATCTAGTTAGTTAGTTTTCACAAGGTCATGTTAGTTTAGTATTTAAAAAAATGAAGAAAAAATAATCAAAACAAAAACTTTAATTAAAAAAATTGAAAACTTTGAAGAAAAAAGAGAGTAAAATTCATTAAGTGAAAATATGTTGGATTTGTGGAATCTCTAACGACCACAATTAAATGGCGGAATCCAACATCCGGTTAATTTTCACAACGTCATGTTAATTTAGTATTTATAAAAACTTTTTTAAAAAAAATCAAAATAAAATTTGAAGAAAAAACAAACCAATAAAAAAAAAGTAAAAATAAATGCTAAATTTACATTAAGATGTGAAAAGCATGTTGGATTTGTGGAATCGCTAACGATCACGGTTAAATGACGGGATCCAAAATCCGGTTAGTTTTCACAACGTAATATTAATATAGTATTTTTAAAAACTTAAAAATGAAGAAAAAACTCAAAAACTTTTGAAAAAAAAATGTACAAATAAATACTAAATTTACATTAAGATGTGAAAAGCATGTTGAATTTGTGGAATCGCTAACGATCACGGTTAAATGATGGGATCCAAAATCCGGTGAGTTTTCACAACTTAATGTTAATTTAGTTTTTAAAAAAACTTTAAAAAAAAATAAAGAAAAAAAATCAAAATTTTTTTTTTTTTTTTTTAAAAAGAGTTGAAAACTTTTGAAAAAAGAAGTTCAAATAAATACTAAATTTCCATTAAAATGTGAAAATCATGTTGAATTTGTGGAATCGCTAACGATCACGGTTAAATGACCGGATCTAAAATTATGTTAGTTTTCACAATTTAATGTTAATTTAGTATTTTTGAAGTTAAAAAAATCAAAACAAAAAGTTGTTTTTTAAAAAAAAAGAGTTAAAATTTTTTGAAAAACAAGAGTTCAAATAAATACTAAATTTACATTAAAATGTGAAAAGCATGTTGAATTTGTGGAATCTCTAACGATCACGGTTAAATGACGGGATCCAAAATTCGGTTAGTTTTCACAACTTCATGTTAATTTAGTTTAAAACTTAAAAAAATAAAGAAAAAAATCAAAACAAAAAGTTTTAAAAGAAAAAAGATTTGAAAACTTTTGAAAAAAAGAAGTTCAAATAGATACTAAATTGACATTAAAATGTGAAAAACATGTTGAATTTGTAGAATCGCTAACGATCACGGTTAAATGACGGGATCCAAAATCCGGTTAGTTTTCACAACTTCATGTTAATTTAGTATTTCTAAAAACTTTTAAAAAGACAAAATCGAAACAAAACAAAAAAAAAAAAGAGTTGAAAAAAATAAAGCAAACAAAATAAAAAGATTAAACTTAACCGAAAATATATCGGTATTAACGATCTCGGGCCTGACATTAATCAAAGGCCCAATAATCTTTTAAGTGAATATTTATCGCCGAAGTACTGATTATTTTATAGAACATATATACTAACAGCTGATTCATGCTAATTCATGCTACTGTCGATGTGGGACCTTTTGGTTTTCTACATTTTAGGAGGAGGACTATGTCGGTACAAAGATTCCGATTTTAGTTACCATGCAATTTCTTCACAAACCGCTCAAATTCGACAATGTTATGTTCTTCCATGAGAGCTGGGACGAGTCTACTATAGGCAAATGATGACAAATGCCTTCTATCTGGATCGTTCCGAAACTTAACGCTTTCTAACATTTTGTTATACCCAACTCTATCATGGCAAGGAAGCGAGTTCTCTCGAGCAACCGGTGTATCGCTGTCCCAAGCAGCGTTTAACACCTGCAAAAAAATAAGTTTAGCTTTGAGGTTTTGGTGATTACTGATAAGCGCAGGCTTAAGAAACTGATATGCTGTGTTTTCTTTACCTGCCAGGCTACTGCCTCAGGTTCTCCTAATGCTCCTGAGAAATCATCTGGACGGTTTAGAACTTGCACTTCTCCGGATACAAAACTTAGAGTGGCACCATGCTTCTTGAGAGTAGATGCAATTGCAGCATAACCATCTCGGTTGCTCGGGTTGTAGAATCCAGCGGTTAGCTCAGCGGCATGGCTTGCTGTTCTGTACCACCAGTGGACGTCTGGGAGCTGTTTAAGTCAATTGTGATGAAATTATGACAAAAAGTCTAAAATTTACAGGGATTCAAATGGCTTAGAAACTAAATCAATCACCTTTGCTGCAATGCAACTACTGTCGAAGACTAGTTTAGCGAGAGAGAGGATTTGGTCAGCATGATCTATCAAAACCTGTGAATACCATTTGAGAAAGAATCTTCCATAGAGGCCATCGTAGTCACCTCCATCACAGAAGAAACCGGTTCCCTGTGGCTGGGAATTGTAGGAGCCGGTGTTATCTGGGCCTCGAGCCCAAAACAGGTGCCCCCTTGATTCTGCTGCCTTTCTCAGGCTCTTCGAGAGATACTTGTCATAACACTGTACCGGTGCAACGGAATGGTCATCATGTGGAAGCCAAAAGTAAGTTAGCTGGTGAAGCTTGGCTATCTCAAGAGTTTAGACTGTTGAAAGGAAATATACCTGAAACTCTCCAACACCTGGGTATCGCCACCCGTGTTTTATGGGACAAGAAGGATACCGTAACTCTCCACAGGGGCCTAGTCCAATTTCAACCATAGATATTACACCATCCTCTAGAAACTCTGCAAGTTCTATCCGAAAACTTCTCATGTAATCAAAGTACACCTAAAATAAATCACCAAAACCATAAAGTGTTTCATGAGTTGGTTATTTCAAATATCTGTGATAACAAAAAGCAAATATTCATGGGTAAATAAAAGACACGGCATGGCCACATAGTGAGATAAGATCTTCTAACTGAAAAATTAGGCAGCTAGATTTTCTCATTTTTACCAAGAATTAACATTTCACTTAAGCTTAGATAGGAGTTTACCTATCTAACTGTGACTTTTGTACTATTTATCACTACAGAGTAAATTGTATGCAACAAAAAAAAAAAAGCGTGCAAAAAGTCATTTAAGTATTAAAGAATCCATTGATCGATAGAGAGATGATAGCTTGCAGTCATGAGTATGTATACCTCAAGTGCAGTCCTGCCTCTTAAAATACGTTCCTTGTCAATACCCCAAGAAAGGCATTCAGGGTTTCGTCTTCCCTCTCTATCAGTGAAATATATGTCAGGATTGGTTCGCCCTATTTCTGCCACCCAGTGAGGAAGTGGGATGCAAACATCATCACCAACATTGCCTCCACATTCATGAAAGGACATTAGAACCTAGTAAGAAAGAAAGAAATTGAGATACATATGAAGCTTGGGAACAAATCATTCTAACGCAACATCATTAAGAAAACTGTATCTTAACCAATCATGCAGGCAAAAGACAGACCTGTATCTTAAGATTAAGATCGCGGACCATCTGAAAAAGCTGCCTATAACCAGTCCAATTATACTCCTGGGGGGAATGAGCCTCAACTATTCCCCACCAACAATCCACTTTAACCCCATCGACATGGATTGATTTCAATATTCTTAAGTGCTTTACCAGTCCATCTCGATCAGCCAATTCACACTTCATATTGATAACCCCAAGCTATTGACAGAAAAGGATATGTAGTTAGGAGAAATTTCAGGATAATTATGTGTACATGTTAAGATTAAAGTTGCTTACTGGTAACATCACATAAACCGGAACATAAGGAGTGCCAGAGAAATCTTGCTCTGTCAGATTTGGAGGAATATCGAGAATCTACCAAATACAATATGTGGAAGAGAGTCATCAGACTTGAACTCAGATACGCGGATGGACATAAATCAACCATGCAGTGACAATCTGACAGGTTCTTATGGCATTTTCAGTTTTTTTAAAATGTTTTTCTTAAGTTGAGGAAACTATCAACTTCATTAATTTCAAATAAGCGATGTAAATGCAAAGGACTGAACTCTTACAAGATTTTTTTTCTATGTACTAGTGCAGTGTCGCTACCTGTTTAGAGTTGATAACATCAACTGAACAACCAACAAGCCCCTCAGCCTTATTGACACTACCAACCAGTTCTGGAGATTGAGTTGGGAATTTATCGTATGGCGATGAAGCGGGTGTGAAAACACCTTTCATACGGCAAGCGCTGAGTTCCACTGGGCTTCTACGCCCAGATGATACCACTCTAAGAGCAGGAGTAGAGGTTTGCTGTGACGCAATGTGAGAAGCTGATGAACCTGCAGCAACCGCAGAAGAACCACCAGTAGGCTTTGTCCCCTAAAAGGTTGAGCAGATCAAGAAGACGATTTAGCATTTACTGGAAATGGATATTTCAGGAGTTTTTCCCCAACCAAGGATCAAGCTTAACACTAATGATTTCTGACAACTACGAGTAGAAGCGAATTTTGCTGGCTAATAAAAATGACTAGACTACAGAAAAACCTCAGCTAAAGCATACAACACAATACATAGCACAGGGACAAGGTAAACAAGTACCTGAGATTTGGCTGGAAAAGTAGTTCCATCAGGAAGAACAACCCATCCAGCTTCCCTTGCCAAAGCCGCGATAACATCGTTAATATCAGCTCTAACTCTGAGATTATAATTCCCATGCCTTCGTAACCCGCCTAGTATCCTTGCAGTAATAGCCCTTCGATGGCGCTCTCTTAACTTAGTTCGCTCCTTCTCTTCAAGCGGTCTACTTCTGCGACTTCCTCCTCCCCCAGGAGTGCCCACTTGATCTTGCATTGACTGCTGAAACATAAACTCATCATTACTACTGCCTGAAGCAGCGCGTGTGTCTCTATTTCGTCGGTCTCCATCATCTTCTTCCTTCACATCCATATCCATTTCTTCATCATCATCCTCTTCACTAGTTCCAAGCAGTTTCTGCATATCCGTTGCCATAACTCCTCTTATAACCCAACCACCCAGGGCTCTATTAGTTTAAGAACGTTATTGCCTTCTTCTGATGAAATGTTCCATCTTTACTTCTCTGGTTTTAACACTCCACGTGTAATCCTTCTGGACAATGCAGCCAAATATTCTATGATTTTTCCTTGTTTATTGCTTACAGTTAGTCAGAAAAGTGAGGACAACTTTAGTATCCAACGAAATTGATCTTCAATCTCTCGACGTGCATAAGCTGCTCTCAGTCTACCTTCCTACAAGACAAAAATCAAACATATAAACAGCATTTTCAACTACAAGCATATTTCCAGACAATAAAAAATGGAAAACTTTTAGTGACCAACCAAACAGAGTTAGTGTTTCTTCAAAGCACAATTGCAGATTAAGTACCTAATCATATATCATCCATCTACCTCGGTGAGTATGTTTCTAGCGCAATTCTGTCAACAATCACAAGCCTCCTCACGGCCAATCGTCGAGAAATACTAAAAACCCCTAGAAATGGAGCTTCCGATCAAAGGATTCCCAGTCTGTCGCCGTCAGCGAAACCAAGAGAGAGGAGAAGAAGACGGTAGATCTCCGGCGGGTGAAAAAGGGCGGATCTGGCCGTGAGATAGAGAAGGCGCGTGAAGGAGCGTGCAGCGTGAGAATTGGAAGACGAGGCTTTCACGCGTGTGTAGCGCTCGAGCGTGTCTGGGAGAAAGAGGAGTGTGTGAAGCAAAGGCTTGGCACGAACTAGGCGTGTGTGCGTATACCAAGGAAGAGAAGGAGACGGGCTCATTAAACGTGTGAAGGGAAGCACGTGCCACCTCCACCATCACGAGATTTCGATGCACTCTTCGGCGCAGAAGGCAGGGAGGTAGTCACGTGACATGCCTGACCAGACACAGTTCGCATGATGTGATGTCTAATTTATGGTCGTTTTGCAAACACTGGTACCAAACTGCGTGCGGTTTTACTCTGTTAAGCGTGAACTGCATCCCGGTTAAGTAAAGTCTTCGACTTTGACCATGCCTTGAACCCTCTCTCTTGTCTCGAGGGTTTACGTTGAATGTCAACTACTAGAAAGTTAACCAAAAGAACATTCATTACAAAACACAAATGTTAAATGTCATTAAAAGATTTAAATCTGATTTAATTTTATAAACAATAATAAAAACTGGACTAAATGTAATGAATTAAGATTGCGATAATTATTTTAATACTATTAAATGATACCATTTTATCGAATGTCTAAAAAAATTAAGATTATTATTATTAAAATGATCTAAAAAATATTTCATGTCTACAAAAAAAAAATACTACTAGTAAATGATAGTAATATGTACACCTGTTATCGCAAAGATGTCTACATTAGTAACTTTTTCAATAAAAAAATTGTCAACAAAAAATAATAATTCCAATAACATTACTATCTGAAAATTGTGATAGTATGGTGTAAATGTCATTTAGAATTTAACTAGATCATCACCCGTACTAAAGTACGGGTTGAATTTTATTTATTATAAAATTTATATAATATATATATTAGAAGTTTAGAACTAAGTTTTAATATATAATAGTAAGTGAAAAAAAATTAATTTTGTTGTCAGTCCCTATATACAATATTAGAATAAATATAGATTTTTTTCTATAATACTCAATTATGGATAAATTTTTTTTAAGATATGAAAACGGAAAATAATTTTATTTTTTAAAAAGTAATATTTTTTGAACAATGAGTTAATTTATGTTAACAACCACAAAATAGGATTGCATATATTTCAGTTAGATCAAAAATTAAAATATCATAAATAAATCGCATATAAAACATAGATTATTTTGAATTAATTAAGAAAATTAGGTATTATTTTGAATTAATTTAGAAAATTCTTTTTCAATTCATAATTCTTTGGTTGTTGAAATAGAGATTTGTTTGAGCTAATCTAATTACAGAATTTGTTTGAGATTTATAATTACGGAATTTACCAATTATTCGCATAATCGAATATGTTATAAACATATATTTAGTATATAATCATACCAAAATCAACCCGTGCGTGGAGTCTATATTTTTATTTTAGAATCTCAATATTTCATTTTAAAATATTGCGTGCACAATCTCTTATTCGTTAATTCTAAAATTGATTTCGGAATCAAATTTTCAAATATTTAGAGGTGTCAAACCATATTTAAATGTTCTACACTATTTTTAAATATTCCAAATTAAAATCTTTAATTTTTTTTTGTAGTTTATAAAATTATGAATTTCAAAAAAACAAATTATATGAAATTAAATATAACTATTCAAATAGTTATAAGGATCAAAACTCATTTAATCATATAATATATTATATTTAACCCGCTACCTATTATAAATATTTTTCAAAATAATCAAATTAGAGTATTTATAATTTTTAACTTTTTGAACTATTAAGTATTGATGATTTTTTGAAATTTATTATTAACTTTTTGAAATTTATTCTTTAAAAATATCAAGTAAAACTTATTTTAAATGTTGCAAATTAAAATATTTAAATTTTTATTGTAGTATATAAAATTATACATTTCAAAAAAATAAATGTATGAAATCGAATATAAATATTCAAATTCTGACTTGTTGCTCAGTCGGAATTTTTGTTGACTTTATTTTTGTGTAAAAAAAATATATTACTCAAGTCTTAATTTTTGACCCGTTTAATTGTTTCCTTTATAGATTAAACAATTTATATGCGTTTTTAAAAATTCAAATCTTGGCATATGCAGAAAAAAATTTACATTTTTATTTATTATGTAGATAATATGATGATTTATTTGTTTCATATTAATATAATCATATAAAGTTGAGAGGTGAAGTTTAATGATTAATAACAAATTAATATGGTAAGTTAGATATCAAATCTTATATGTTCATTTTGATTGGTCATTTAAAAAAAAATAATAACAGATTTTCGTTTTATAATTTAATTAAATTAATTAAATGACATGAATTAATATTTTACTTGTTTATCCTTAATAAATTGAATGAAATTTGTTCTAAAAGAAGATTTTTGTAATGGCATTCTTAAGTAAATTCTTACAAAAGGGAAGGTTAGTTAAGGGTATCTTATAAAGTGTACTCCCCAAATAATAGTATAGGATTAGAAATGAATGGGACAACCTTTAGTTATACACCTAACGCATATATAGCAACTAACGTTCATTATGAGATTTGATTAGCCAAATGTGGAAGGCACGTCTCTCCCCACAATCAAATCGAACGGCCATAATTCGTCGGAGACAATCATAATTTAATTTTTTTTAGTCAATGAATAATATAATTTAACTCAAGCGGATGGTGGGAGAGACTTCATGTATTAACCTTTGTCACGTTCATCAGAGCCAGAGCAGCCAACAACGCAAGAGAAGAATTTGAAACTCACCAAAACATTTATCATCATACACAATCGCGAATCGTGATGGAGAGTTCATTGAATTCCGAACAAAACGAGGTATCTGTCTCAGGAACTCCGACGAGCTCTGTTTCTTCGCCATATCGGAGAACATACTCTGATATCTCCGGATTATCCCACCGGTTCGACGTTCAGAATTTTTATAACCGGCCGTCGAACACTAACGCTGTTGTCTTGAGTGGCCATGAAGAAGATGTCTCCGAAGACGCCGTGGAACCAAAAGATGATGTCGTCAATGACGGAGATGGAGACGAGGAAGACAGCGACATTGATTCTGCAGAAGATGCAGGTAAAAAATTTAAGATTGTAACTTTATTCTTTTGTCATTTCAATTAAATCAGGTTTTTAAAGTGCAGAGCTAGAGATGATGAGAGAAAGATTTGCGAAGCTATTGCTTGGTGAAGACATGTCAGGAAGTGGGAAAGGAGTTTGTACCGCTGTTACTGTCTCAAACTCCATAACCAATCTCTATGGTTTGTCTTCTTCTTCTCCTCTCGTCTCAAATATGCTCTGTTTTCGAAACAGAGTATTTATAGTAGCGTGTGTCTGTTGTGTTATTGCAGCGACTGTGTTTGGACAAAGTTTAAGGTTACAACCATTGAGTACAGAGAAGAAAGAGTTATGGAAGCGAGAGATGAATTGTTTCATGTCTATTTGTGATTACATTGTCGAAGTTATTCCAAGATCTCTTGGTACTAACGTTGAGGTAAAATACTATTTCAACACTATCTTAATTTGACACACACAATTTAAAACGCTAAAAACCTTGGTTTTTTGATGTTTTAATTTCAGATAACAGAAACAAAGCTAAGATCTGATATTCTCATGAGTCTTCCTGCTTTGAGAAAACTCGATAATATGCTAATGGTAAGTATAAGACTCGAATTAGACAGATAGATAAATCAAGATTCAAGATTTCCAACACGACTTTTTTGGCTTTTGTAGGAGATATTGGATAGTTTTACGGAGAACGAGTTCTGGTACGTTGAAAGAGGAAGCTCATCGATGAACTCGAGCGGTGGTGGCAGAGATTCAGGAACGTTTAGGAAAGTGGTGGTTCAACGGAAAGACGAGAAGTGGTGGCTTCCGGTGCCATGTGTTCCTGCTGAAGGTTTATCGGAAGAAGAACGAAAGAATTTGCGTCACAAACGTGATTGTGCCAGTCAGATACATAAAGCAGCATTGGCCATTAACGATTCCACTCTTAATGACATGGATATTCCTGATTCTTATCTCACCACTCTTCCAAAGGTATACATATATGACATGGATAACAATTATTGCGTTGCGACTTCCATATGCATATTTTCTTTAAAACCAGATGTAATGTGAAAGTGTTGAAAGCAACTCGGTGTTGTTTGATTTTCTGGACAGAGTGGGAAAGCAAGTGTAGGAGACGTGATATACAAGCAACTGTGCACTGCCGAGAAGTTTTATCCTGACCAGCTTCTCGACGTCTTGAAGATAACATCTGAGCATGAGGCGCTTGAGCTCGCCGACAAAGTTGAGGCTTCACTAGTTACGTGGAGGCGTAAGACTGGAGGATTGACTCACTCCAAGTCCTCATGGGACATGATGAAAGATATCGGTGGCGATGCAGATCGTGGCAATGACAAGAACCACATTCTTGCGGCTCGAGCAAGGAGCTTACTTTTCTGTCTGAAACAGAGATACCCCGAACTTTCTCAGACCTCACTTGACATCTGCAAGATTCAGTTTAAA